TACATTGTCAAGTTATTATGCTGTATAGATTCATGAGTCAATTTCTATCAGCTTAAGATTTCACATTTTCGTGTGTAATGCATGTAAGATCACATGTTTTACCAGTGGGAATTGAGTTTTCAATAAATATTTATGTAGGTCTGCTTAACACATGTCTAATTTGCCACTGGGTATAAATGCAACAAACTACATGCAATTATTATGAAGCTAGTTGGTCTGTCCAACTTGCTATTCTTGGGGTTTATCAACAGTAGAATTACAGGCTTCGTAGGGTGTTGTCATCATAATTTGGGGTATGATTTATTTTTTCACTACCTGCACCAACTAAGTGAGTAAAACAGGTTGCACCACCATAATATTGGCTGCACCATGTTATCAACATTCTTATCACTATCACTAACAGGAGTCGAGGAAGGATAGGAACATTCATAGCTAATTTCATTATCTCCAGAAATGCCAGATGCCTAAACAGATTTTTGATAGATGGTTATTGACATTTTAATTAATAAATCTAATTTCCTTTTTGCTTGTCAAAATCAACTTGTCCATCATTAAAAGTGGTATATCACAGAGTGACCTCTGGCCCTTCATGAAATGTCTACCCATGATCATGATCCAGGTTAGAACTGATCTTTAGTAACCTATGCATGTCGTAAGAGGCGACTAACGGGATCAGGTGGTTGGGCTTGCTGACTTGGTTGACACATGTCATTTTATCCCAATTGCGAACGCTCATGTTGCTGATCACTGGATTGTCTGGTCCAGACTCGATTATTTACAGACCAGCGCCATATATCTGGAATATTGCTAGCCCACTGAGATACTGCAGTATAACATTTACACACAACTATGACACATTATACCCCTAGTCAGTCCTGGTTTAATCCCTTAATTAGGACAACCAGGCAGGGTTAGAACAAGAACTATCTTGTAATGTCTCTTGGTATGAGGAAGACAGGAATGGACCCACTGACCTTCTACTGTCTGCACAGTGGCTCTAACAACAAGATCATAGAGGGGCTTACAGAGAGAGAAAAGTAGAAGAAAATTAAATACATCAAAATAAATAGACAAACATGCCACGCTTTCAACATGTTCAATGTAAAGATAGGTAACCGGTATATTTAACAGCACTGAATTCAATTTATATTATATTTATTATTATAATCTACAAGACATGAGGTAACCAGTAGATATAACAGCACTGAATTCAATTTATATTATATTTTTTATTATAATCTACAAGACATGAGGTTTATAATGTCAAATTTATCATGTTTATCAGTAAAATCCGCAGGTAACTAAGAACTACATTGAAAGCTTGTCAGTATTACCGCCATTACAATAACAAAATAAATGCCAACTCTTTAATGGAGCAACGATATTGAGTGGAGTAGCATTGAGTCCAATGTATTGAATGAGTTTTCATTCTGAATTAAGGAAACACTGATAACAGCCTAAAACAAACAAAGCCAAATGGCACCCTTGAGAAAACCAAGCAAGGTTCACAAGTTCTGCACTGCACCCCACTATTATTAGGTCACATCAGTCACCGTGATACAAAGGTGTCATGTCACAGACATCTATTTCATTTCTGCTCACAAAGTATCGTCCTGTATAGTTTGATTACTGTCTAACCCACTGACAACTCTGCATACTGTAAAATTATAATTGTAAATATCATGATTTAAATGCCTTTCATAATTTGAAAAAAGGACATTTCTTCAAACAGTAAGATTTCTGGATTGTTGCAGTCATCAGTAGAGCTGCATCCATGTCAAAATGAGGCAATAGCCATTGTGATACATATACACATATATATTAGTGGTGTTCTGATTAATTGAAATAATCGAAGACTGGTCGCAGTGACCAAACAACCAAGCAATCAATCACATTTTCTCATAATCAAACATAAACAATTTTGGAACTACTGTTTTAGTGTTTGAAACACTTGACGATGGAACATATCTTAACATTGAAAGCCTGAAGTTGAAAGTTGAAGCCTGAAACATGTTTAATTCTTAGAAAACTCACTTCCCATACTTAAAAGTCATGACTGAATATTTCTTGTAGACTCCAGGAAGTTTATGTTTATGATATATTAGTCATCACTGTAAAGTAGCCAGTTGCATCATTTTACATTGGATATGAAATTTGCAAATGCAATTTGCGCAGTTTCTAAATAAAACAAAAAACAACAGATAACCATGTTATACTTATCCGCAATAACAACCTGAACAGGAAAATCTAAAAAATGACGCTAACCAATTCTTTTCGATGATTGCTCATTGGTAATGAACCAATTATCAATTGTGAGATTTCAACCAATTCCCAACACTTATATATATAGTAACAAACACAAATATCTTATCATGAACACTTTTTGTAATGAACATGTCATGTAATTGCTTAATTGAAACATTTTAATGATATTTCCTACAGAGCAAATAAAATCAATACAATTTCCCTGGCATAATGGTAGTGCCATAAGGGGCTTTTCAAATGACACAAGTTAGGCTACTGTGTGGCTTGGATATATTCCATTTCTCACACAGACAAACAACAAACTAATCCCAAATAAATTCACTCTGTTAAAGTATTGTAGTGACATCGAAGAATGTACTGAATTCATAAAGGGGTACTGTTCATTGCACCGAATACACAAGTAAACTGTAACAGGACTAGTCATCAACTCCATCTTTTTCAATCAGAAGTGGTTACCATAATTTGAAACCATTGATTGACCAATCAGAATCAAGATTTATCCAAATTAATGTAAGAATAGTTCATATCAGAGTTGAAGTTAAAAATGAAATCAGTGGACAGCTTTTGAAAGAAAGCATTAGAAAAGATCAAAGCAAAAGGCATAATTACAATCCTTATTTGATTATCCATAAGATAAATATTATCATTTACATAAAACAATATATATTTGTATTCTGAATCAATGTGATGTACATAAATTTCAACATATTCATGCAGGTGAACTTGTGAATATAAAAACTTCTTATAATTGAATTGTTTTTAAAAGAACAGAATCACACTGAAAATACAGTTGGAGTTAATCGAGTAAAATGAATTCCAGCCATATTACGACATGTGCTTAAAGGTCACATGCAATGCAAAACACAACTTTGCAGATTCTGATACCTTTCGGTATGGACTTACAGTAACAAATTATCAAAAATGCAAAAAACAAATGTGTTATATTTATTAACCAAACATACCGAAAACCAGAAGAAAATTGCAAGATGTAATACTGGAAAAGCATACTGCAGTATGCCAGTAATACAGTCCTATGGGCATGAAGGGCCAATGATCTATACATCAAGAAATATATTATGAACAATTATCACAAGTCAACTTTTTTCTAGAAAGAGCCACCTACTGTCAGTTCAAAACAAAGCACTAGTTCAAATACATAAACCTCTTTTATCATGAGTATAGTTTGCTTATTTCAGCTGTCACTTACATGACGGTTATATTAGAAATGTGTTTACAATTGATGACAATGACTATCTTATGGAAACAGTAACTATTTCTATTGTATGATATCAAATACCTAAATATTGGAAACTGACATACAGTTAACATAATGAACATGAAACAACTAATACCTATGTCATAAAACAAACATGATAAACTGCCCTGAAACCTATGAATTATGTCTGAACTGGCATTTTTATGAGTAAAAATAATTAAAAGAAGATATTGATTAAATTTGAACTTATTTGCTGTCAAGCTATTTCTTAACAACATCATATGCATAGGATGGAGTGTTACTGTCTGAAAGGGACATAACTCTTCATGTACAGTTCTCTTTAGGCACAGAACTTTCTGCTAAAAAAAAATATCACCATAAATTAGCCCAATTACAACTGTATGTTTTAGTGGATGAAGTGGAAATTCTGTGTCAAGTTCACACAAAATCCAGCTTGAACTACCATCGTTTGTAATTCACTGTACATAAAATCATATCATCTTCATAAAAGTGCTTAACCAGCATTTATTGTATAATCTGTGTGGGGCTGTAAAATATTAGGCTGCAAATGGAATATGATTATGAGGGAAATTTTGTTCCAATGATATTGTGAAATGTGTACATTAACCATGTTAACATGCCTTCGAGTGTTAAGAAAAACAACTGTGATATGTTGTGGCAGTAATATTGTTAAACAGCATCAGTTACTGGAAGTCCATGAGATTTGAGGTAATGAGTTTTAGAGTTGTTTGGCTAACCTTAATATAGCTACATGTACATACACTTTATTTATACATCATGTTTGCATGGAGCATCCTTAATTATTGCCCCAACCCATACATTTTATACTTCATGAATAAGGTCATGATGCCTTGTCCCTTAACAACACAGCAATGTTTCAACCCATTTTCCACAATTAAGACTGAAGTCAAAGTAAATATCATTTCAGACAACAAATGAGATTCTGTGTGAGTTAGCAATAGCATCGCCAGATGAAACAAACAATATTCTTGACAGGTCATTTCATCATATTGACATATAAGCGGCACTTAAAAGCATGTTTACTTCTAAGCATTTTGCTGAAAGTGTTATTGTTACCATGAATGTGAATAACTGATGAGTACATCATGAAAAATAGGTACAATTTTAACTCCAGTGTGATTACAGACTCTTGGGGCCAGACTCCTCGACATTAGAAACAGTGGAAAGTCTCACTAAGAAGTGCTTCACTGGATATGAAGTTTCTATCTCTTGATATTATTGTGTCAACAATCTAAATACTTCAAAGCATGTGACATATACCGACAAAATGTTGTATAATTAAATACTCAGAATGTATCCACATAGTAGCGTTATGCTAATAGTGCAACTTGAAGTATCAGTGATAACCACGAGAGTAGATCTAACTGTATGTGTCTCATGTGATCGTATTCGTCTCGAACTTCAGCACATCATGCTAACCTTCCAAACGACTATACCATGCAGCATTCTAAAACAATGAACTAATATGTTTACGTACCGTCAATAAGCCATTCACAATGTGCATTGGCTGAATAAATATCTGGTCCATCGGATATTTGGCCGCGCTGACCCTTCAAGATTTTCCGACCACTGCAAGATGCGTTGGAGAGGTCCCAAGCTGTCAGGAAAACAGCAGCAAAGAAGATATTTCTTGACGTGAAACAAGTCATGACTGACCAAAGGTTGTTCGACAGCCGGTTATCAACAAATGATGCATATCCCCAAACCATCGACCGTGTCAATTGAATATTTTTTGGTCGAGGATGGTTCTCATTTTGGGGGCATATTAGCCCATCGTCTGCTTCAACATGGCATTGAGTATGCACTATAATAGCATATCTACATCCTCTGTTGTAGAATATCCAACTGTTCCGAGGATTTCGTGCAGCTACATCCCGATAGATGTCAAGTTACAGTATTTAAATCGTTTTGACAGCTGATTTTGCAAGGTGTCCATTGCTTTTGTTCCCCAAAACAGCATCTCAGCATTGACGAAAATGATGTATTTTGATTGGTTCTAATTCAAGAAAAGTATTTTCCTCTTGACATATTTCAAATGATTCTACGGTCTTCGGTTAGACAAGACAGTGCATAAGTAATTTGTGATTCGTATAACTTTGAAGCATTGCCAAATTTCACTGAAAACTATGTGTACTTTTTTTTCTGTATAAATTAAGAATATATTGATACTTTAAACATAAAACAGGCACCTCGATATGAGGTTTCGCACATGCTAGAATATTTTCAATACGTAAGTGCGGTACAGCAAACTGCAAATGAATAATAATCGACACGTGACCGAAGAATGAAGCAATTTCAAAGTACGCATACGGCGTGAAGACTGTATCTTACATTTGTGTTGCTGTATTATCTTCAATACAACACCTGCCAGCTGATCTCTCTGTAACCAGAACATACTGTACGTACTCTAACAAGAGACTGTTGATACGGTCTGCTGCTTTTCTATGCATGAAAAAATCCCCTTTGTATCATCACAAAATATAGAGGCACGATAACATGGATGATATTTTATGTGAACTGATATCCTTTCTCATAGCTCTGCGCGCGATTTGCATAACAAAGACGGTTATGCAATGTTCCAATAGCAGTTGTATGATGCGGTGTTTCGACCGGGAATACCGTATATCTTCTCTTGGAACGGTTGTTGATATTAATTATCGCCCTTCACCTTTAGGACAAAGATCTGCAAGCGAAGGGCGATTTTTATTGCCACGGGGTTCATGGATCAGTGACAACGCATGAATAAACTATTTAACAAATGATTAATGGAACTGAGTTTTTTAGTCATTCGTGTATTTAAGAAACCGTTACTGATTACAGAGTGAGTTGAGCTTTACGCCGCACTCAGCAATATTACAGCTATATGGCGGCTGTCTGTAAATAATCGAGTCTGGACCAGACAATCCAGTGATCAACAGCATGAACATCTATCTACGTAATTGGATACGATGGTATGTGTCAACCCAGTCAGCAAGCCTGACCACCCGATCCCGTTAGTCGCCTCTTACGACAAGCATGGGTTACTGAAGATCAATTCTAACCCACATTTTCACGGGTCACTGATTTCAGACTGTTATAAAAATACGTAATTAGTCACTGATAATTGTTGGGTGGGGAGGTACTGGTGTTTGCAGTCACTTAATTTATCATTTACAAAAGACATATTTTCACTTGAAAATACAAATGTAAAATGGACAAACGTTTTAGCTAATATAACATGGACATCCATGTTCACTCCTGAAAAAACCCGTTCAATATTTTTATATCACTAAAGATATCCTTCAAACATCTTGTCATTAGTTCAAACCTGGGTGCGGGAAGACTCGCACCGTTCCAATATTTTTGTAATACTCACCCGTTAGAAATGGTCTGAAATGAACAGTAACCCGGGGAAAAATGCTTGTCGTAAGAGGCGACTAACGGGATCGGGTGTGCGGGAAGATATCGAGTGACACCGAAAAGTTGTAACACGTGACCAAATACATTATATTAAATCACCTTTTGTGCCCAAGAAACCGTTCAAATATATTGTTTATAAATACCTCTCGTAATGATTTATGGTCAGACTCCTCCCTAACAAAAATATATCTTTTAACGTCTTTTGGTATAGTGCGGATTGGGATCGAACCATCACCTTCCACTCTCTGGCAATCGCCTCATCCACAAGACCACGAACGCGGTCGTTTCTTCCTGTAAATGATCGAATCTGGAGAACCAGTGGGTGAACGAATGAGCAACGACCGATTCCACCAGGTCACGATGACATACCGAATCACACAGTTACAACACTGCATCTGTGTCCCGATCTCAAGGCAAACAGGAGACGTTGAAGCCCTATTCCTAATCCCCACAAGGATGTGATTCAAAGCACCATTATGTCAGATATGTATCATATCAACAGCAACTCAACCTTGCTGCTACCAGAGAAAATTGCAAAGAACAATGGTATTAAATTATGTTCTGTATTTCTTCAGAATGAGTGAGTGAGTTTAGTTTCACGCCGCACTCAGCAATGTTACAGCAATATGGCGGCGATCTGTAAATAATCGAGTCTGGACCAGACAATCCAGTGATCAACAGCATGAGCATCGGTCTACGCAAATGGGATACGATGACATGTGTCAACCAAGTCAGCGAGCCTGACCACATGATCCCATATATCTTCAGAAACTGACGTACGAAAGTAAGTACACACCATGTGCTTTGGGATCATGGACACAATATTTGTATCCTGTAAGTCATAATAAATCACATTTCAAAATATTTACGTAGTATGTTTGTTTTGTTTTGTTTTGTTTTGTTTTGAAAATAATAACAAAACGCCAGACGCGTACTATCTTTTATACTTCAGTTTAGTGACGGCCCAAGGCGTTCCTGGTCGTGTCAGGATTTGTTTATCATGGGTTCGAATTCAAGATTCAGCCTGTTTAATACATAATTTGTCAGCTCCACACCCGAGTTCGCCGATTATATCAAAATTGCGTTATTAATCGTGCCAGGATAATATATTGGAATCATTTGATTTTAACTCACCAATTAAGCTGGGAAATGTTTTTCAAAGAATTATTACAACTCCGCTACACAATTCACTATTTTAGTGAAAACGGTTGATCCAAAAATATCTACATTAAAATGGGTTTTTAAAATTATTCTATCAAATATGTATACACTGGCAGTATGAAAAATAACATTTCAAATCATCCAACTAAAAGTAAAATCATATAGATCTACTGTTCACGAAATTAACAAGCATCTGAATCAGTTGTATAGAAATAGTGGTAGGAAAGCCGTTTTGCTCTCATTGGTTGACACGAAAGGTCATCTTAGTGCTCGGTTGAACTTGCTGGCCTGCTCGTCTGGTGGTGTAACAAGATACTGTCTGCATCGACTGCAAGTGTTTCTCGTATAAGAACCGTAACACGTTTGAGACTTTCGGGAAATTGCAGCATAAATATACTTACGAGCAACGGGCATGGTTCTAACGCTTTGCAACTGGTTATGTTTTAATATATTTCGTACGGTTTCAGCAACGAGTCGGAAAGAACATATGATGATACGACTCATTATATATTCTCACAGGGCGATCGTCTCTGAAATGTTGACTAGTTTTAAAATATTTATCGTAGTTTATAATTTTGCCAGATTGCTCCCTGTCCTTTAGATGTTTATTCATTTAATTATATATTCTATTGCGATTTATTTTTCAAGTAGTTTCTTAGTGGGGGACAAGATTTGTATTTGTGTAACCGGGTTTGAAACAATATACTCTACTGTACTGATACGATATTGGATACCATGATTGCATATAAAATGGCATTGTGCATTTTGCTTATGTATAGCTCTCCTGACTGAAAGTCGTTTCAGCTTTTGTTGGTGCGCTTTGTCCACCCGTCTTTAACATGGATAATGTTTACGTTTTCGTAATCCCCACCTCTCATGCAAGAACTATAGACTAAACATTTTTAATTGCATGAGGCTGATGGATGCAGTTTTCTCTTAACACCGCCAACAGAATTCCTATTCCATTATATACGGACAATAACAGCTATTTCCTGATCATAGTTACATTTTTAATAACGTGTATTGTATTTGACATAGGTATATTCAATTCATACTTTTTGTAGGATACTTTGATTTGTTATCGAGCTGTGACATTTGACCCCCACTCACTCCTTTCGTGGAATTATACATTTATATGTTAGACCTCTGATTTTTAAGTTGAAACATTTCAAGCTTGTGAGCTGATATTCTGACGAAATAATATTTAATCTATCTCTCAACCATTTCTGAGTGCGTCATTTTCACATTTCATATGCCATTGTTATACTAATATGAATCAAAAGAGTTAGAGATCAGTGGTTTTGTATGAAGGGTGGCCCTTGCCTTCAATACCACTAAGAGGGACAGTTTAGTGCTTGATTTTTCAAGATCAGTGGTGCACAGGAAACCATAAGGGGTCGTTGATTGTTTTACATGATGGGGGTGGGGGTATGTGTGTGTGTGTTGGGGGTTACTTTTTTGGGGGTGTCACTGTACATAAACTCTGGGGAGGGGTCATTCACATTGTACATGCTTCTCATAACAACAATCATCATCATCATCATCATCATCATCATCACACACAATTCTCCCGCTGACATGATGAGCATCAATCTACACGTCTTGGAAATGATGACGCGTGGTTCCGTCAGTCTCCCCATACAAGCATGGGTTGCTGAACAGGTTTGCTCAAAGTGATTTATGCATATATTTCTACCTGCATTAAGCAAACGTAAATTAAGCATATATACCGCAAGCTATCCATGTTATAACCTATTGAGAACCAAACACGACCCCTTGCTATATAGGAAAATGCACGTCATCATCACGAAGTGCATCGCGCGTTGTCAATATCAGAGGTTGCAACTGTACAGAGAACCGGTTATAAAAATACGGACAGACAGGGGCGATGGGGTAGCCTAGTGGTTAAAGCGTTAGCTCGTCATGCTGAAGACCGGGTTCGATTCCCAACATGGATACAGTGTGTAAAGCCCGTTTCTGACGCCCTGCGCCGTGATATTGCTGGAATATTGCCAAAAGCGGCGAAAAATCCAACTCGCTCACCAAAACAGACGAATACATTGAATATATTTACCTTTTTTGTTTGTTTTATCAGATACCACTTATATCTCATCGAATGAAGTGATGAGGTCATTATTTCAACGAGTGACTGACTGATGACAATATATAATTTCATGGTGTATTTTATTACTATATGATAAACCACCATAACGCACAGCGATCATCTGTACTTGGATTCCACTCAAGCCCATGTAATTTGGTTTACCTCAATCACTAGGTAAGTTCACCGGCTGTAATGTTACAAACTGACCGAATATATATTTGATGTGCACTGAAGGGACCGTTTCTAGGGGTGGGTGGGTGTGATGATGATTTGGGGGTGGGGTGTTTAGCCATTTTGTCCTGGGAGGTGTGTGTGTGTGGGGGGTGTGTGTGTGTGTTTTGTGTGTGTGTGTGTGTGTGTGTGTGTGTGTGTGTGTGTGTGTGATATATCATCATTTTGTACTCATGTACGAAAGGGGGTGGGGACAATCTTGTACATTTTAAGATTGAACATTTATGCTTAAATATTTTGGGAAGTGTGGTGTGGGGAGATAATTGATTATGTGCATGACATGCAGCGGGGGTTTACTTTGTACATCAATTATTTATTTATTTATTGGGGGAGGGGGGCATTCAAATTGTACATGTTTCTATATAAAAATCACCATCACCCCTCCTAGCCATAAATTATGAACGGTCCCAAAGGACACATTAATCTCGCCCACATATCTGCAGAGTGCTCCCTTATCAAATACGCGCGACGACAGAGGGTGCCGACTAAAGGTTACCAAACCTTCCAAAGCGACCTAAATTGTGACACCCACATATCATAACACACATATATAGTGGCCACACGACATAGTTTTACATGAATGATGATGTAGCAATATTCTAATTATTACCAAATAATATAGGAGGCAAAACAAGAATTAAGAAGTACTGAAGCTCATTTTTGCTGACTGAAATACTCGTTGATTGAGGATGTACAGAAGCTTGATTTGTTCTGTTTCATAGTAATTCATAGAAAAATGCATTCGCATCTCACATGTTTTTCGTGGAATGTGTGAGCATTAATATGCTCTGAATAAAAAAGAAACACAAATATGGTTGTCTGGTGTGTAACTTCTTTGAGAGCCATTTAGACGTTGGATCAATAAGGATTAACAACTTCTTTATAACAGTGACAGCGGTTCTAGGCTTGATAACTTGGTGTTAGAACCTACACCGAAACGTCGCTCTCACTGTAATAAAGAAGTTGTTCATCCATCTTTTGTCATCCTTCCTTCAGGTATGTATTTTATGTTTTATATAAATAATCTACAGATCATATTAAATTGTTCAGATCGTCACTGACCGAGCTTCATCATCGCACGCATGGAACTATCGAATGTCAAGGTGAAGGTCACCTGTTCTCAACATCTTGTATGGGCTCCAAAGTTCAGAACTGGCTGGGATCGTCGCCCCATGGAAGAAATCGGATTACGAATTGTGACCTTGGGAATGTTCATCCACTTTTAGGGGCGGTGGGGTAGCATAATGGTTAAAGCGTTGGCTCGTCACGCCGAAGACCCGGGTTCGAATCCCCACATGGGTACAATGTGTGAAGCCCATTTCTGGTGTCCCCCGCCGTGATGTTGCTGGAATATTGCTAAAAGCGGCGTAAAACCAAACACAGTCAGTCAGTCATCCACTTTTGATGCAAAACCTGTGCCAACAGTTGGAGCATCTGTTACTGTTGCTGACGTTGGTCCCGAGCAACCCATAGACGTTTCATGGGGTTTAGTCCTGGAGACTTAATGGCAGTTCTTGGATGTTGGAGTTCCTCATACAGGCCAATTTTCAGTCTTATAAGAGTGAGGCTCGCGTTAGGCATTGTCGTGTTACCGAACGAAGGACGCTAATCTACATGATTATTATCATATTAAGACCCCGTCAGTGACAGTGTATATCTTGATGCCAGGTTTTGGCGTCACAAGCCCAGAGCACCTGTGCACTTGTATCCGCCATGGATTCAATGCAAGACTGTTGTGTTGAAACCCGTCAGTCGCAGTGTATACTTTTATGCCAGTTATTTGCGTTGCATGCCCCGTGTAAGTTGAATCTACCTGGTGGGGTTCGAACACAGCCCCCGCCCTAGATCTGCCAAAGTTTTGGAAATTTGCCAGTCCCAGAAAACAAGCCATCTGATAGATCTGCCTTTATCATCTTTCCCGGGGGAGACGTTGTTTCCACAGCTCTAACTGTTGTTTTAAGCCCTCGAAACAACTCGATTAAGAATATCAATTAGGTCTTCTTCAAATCGATATACATTTTCACCCGAGACGGAGAACCAAATCTTGTGAGCTCGATCCTTTACCCCGACCGCGTCATACCAAAAGACGTTGTAATGGTCATTAATGGGTACAAGAGGACATCGGCTCGGAGTCAGTATAATGTGTCTGAGTGGGTATTCTTTGCTTCACTGTTTTCTCACATAATCTTATCGTCCATCTTAGATTCTCATTATATTTTGCGTTTCCCCGATTCCCTCTCTATTTGCTGATTCCAAATTCAGTGAAACTCTCATAAAATCTTTGGAATAAAAAATGTCATCTTCTATAATATTAAATTCTAAGAATGACGTCTAATGTCGAATTTATCAGTTATGACCAGCGACATATAAACACACCAGATGCCCCTCCCTTTCACATGACAAATCAGAAAATAGTTGATACTGCACCACCCAAACCACAAGATACATTTTTCAAAAGCAGAATATTCGGGCAATTTGTCTTAATCAGTAAGACGTTTCATGAACCAATCGCATGTAAAAAGGTTCTAGACTGAACAGATTTCATCAGACCATCCTCTTCCTTTTACAATACCCGTTTGTGGCCGTTGGTGAACTGGGATTCCCAGATTTTTGTTAATGGGAAAAAATAAATAAAATGAAACTGTACGGGCATTTCCAAACATGCAGAATCCGGGTTAGAATTTGTCTTAAGCTACCCACGCCTGTCTTTTAGAGGCGACTAATGGGACCGGGTGGTCAGACTTGCTGACTTGGTTAACAAGGCATCGTATCTGATTAAACAGATCAATGCTCATGCTGTTGATCACTGGATTGTCTGGTCCAGACTATTTACATATAGCTGGAATATTGCTGAGTGAAGCCATTTACAACAAACAAAACCAAAACTTCCAAATGTGCAGGCACCAATGAATGAGTAATTGTTCTTTCGTGCCGAACTTAAATGTAATCTTGGAGCCATCAAATGATTCATTTGAGGCCTGGCTAATCCATTGGCCGATGGCGTGAGCAATGATTCTATCCCATTGAAGACCGATTCATCCAGGTGTTACATCCCTGATCCTCATCTTCCTCACTTTGGAACATGCACCATGTCCATGCAAAATGATATCGCCTGAGAATTATCAAGTTATTGCTCTCTCCCCTCCAGATCTTCGTGTATATTGTATAGTATGACCAGAAATTATTGAGAAGTTTAGGAATGTTTAATTGGATTTCTAGTATAAACAACCTTGACCAGCTATCAAGTGCTTGGTTTCATTCAAGAGAGAACTCCGTTAAACCTTTTCATTAGTTTGTGAAGAGTTATCCCCCTTTGTTTACTTGCTAGCAGACGACATTTTAAGTGATCCTCAGTATGGATGATTTAGAGAAGAGGAAGTTGAATTTAGAGTATTATAACAAGGACATCATATCAGCTAAAGTGATTTCAAGTAGAACAGGCATCCCTTTGTCCACTGTTTATCGTGTTTTTGCAAATGGATATGGCATTGAGCACCAGGGAGGCGCAGGTAGGCCCAGAAAATTGACTGTCAGTGACAGGAGGCGGCTTGGTATTATTTCTAAAAACAAACGAAGGAGTTTAGAAAACTTAAGGCTGGATATGATTGATAGAGGAACTGTGGCTGTCTGTAAGGAGACAATTATAACTGAGCTGCATGCAATGGGTTGGCAGAAAAGTCGAGGAATTCCATCACCGATCATGAAACCTGAACAAATGGAGCGAAGGTTGAACTGGTGCTTACAAGCATAGAAATTTTAACTGGGACAATGTGATTTTTCTCAGATGAAAGTTCTGTGTGGCTGTTTCCTAATACACTGAAATTCTGGACCAAACAAACTGAAAAATCTTTGTATCAGCGCCCAAAGTACAGTCAGAAATTTAACGTGTGGGGTGGCATATCTGTGTTAGGGGCAACGCCCCTCCGTGTATTTGAAGGGAATATGAACAGTGAGTGGTACGCAGATATTCTCGAGGGCCATTTACTTCCATCTGCTCACGTGTTCTATGGAATTTTTTTTGACTTTCCAGCAGGACATCGACCCAAAACATCGATCAAAGCATTCACAGGCCTGGGCCCCGTTCCTCAAAGCGATCGTAGCGCTAAGGTGATCGTAACTCCCATACTTTAACATAGACTTACGACTGTTGTAGCGCTACGATCGCTTTGAGGAATGGGGCCCTGGTTTCGGACCCAAAATATGACATTATTACATTGGCCAAGCTATAGCCCTGACCTAAATCCAATAGAAAATGTTTGGGGACTTATGAAGGAAAGTGTCAATAAGAAAAATCTGACAAATATTGCTGAAATGAAAGAAGAGGTGGTCCGATATTGGGGCAGCATGGACCACGACTTTCTAACTTCTTTGATCAGTAGTATGCCCCGCTGCATTGAAGCCTGCATTGCTTCCCATGGTGACTTGACAAAATACTAACTGTTCACCTGTCTTTGAATCTGGAGTTATGTTCTGCTAATATTCACATTTAATACCTGAGTAATGAGTGAAAATATATATAAAACATTACAATCTTTAAATTCTCAATAATTTCTGGTTGTACTGTATCATTTGGATCAACAGGCAATGTCAGATCTTCTCTTAATCGTTTTGGAAATTGCTATTATCACAAAACACTTGCACACATTTAAAATCTTGACATTTATTTTGTTCTTGATATTTACAGTGAAATGATGACAACATAAAGTGAGATATCTTCTTTAAAATGTACAAACACAAAGTGATAAAACCATAATAAATCTCAGTATAAAACTGTTCACAGTACAATGGCTGGTGGTTGACTACTTCAGACAGGGTGGATAGCACTCAACGTCCCTCAACTGAAACAGAAAAAGCCATCATCAGATACTTTGGAGAGTGAAAAGAACCAATTTGAAATTCCAAAGCTGATTTTTCTTTCTTCATTAATTCCCACATGGGGTTACAATATCTGTTGAAACAATGCAGGGATTTAGTGTAACATAGAAAGCTAGGGGTCCAGCGTACTTCCAGTTTCTAACGTCAAAGGTATTAACGGAAGATATGAGAGGGTTGTGAAGAAATGAAATGAGGTATCATACTGTAATGTATGACTTGATTTAACGTGATATCATTATACATAAAAACATGGCATTATATCCAGAGGGGCATTAGAATGCACTGTATGTCCAACAAGATGCAATACATTTTGTTCCTGCATCCACTTTATATATTTGTCCATATTGGATGCACATTTTGTGTGTCATGAAAACCCCTAACAATGAAAATATCTTACTGTTTTCCTTACGTTTTATTGCAAACAGTTAACACTACCGTTTAAGGGGGGTGATTTGTAAAGAGAGAATAGAGTTCACATGTATGAAGTAAATTTAAGTAAAAAGGTTACTTAGGAGATAAACCTGCTGTGTGGGAAAACCAGAGGTATACAATGAAATTATAATAGCTCTAAATTTCATTTAAAACAGAACACGTAGCATGAGGTTTTAAATGAACAATTTAGAGCTATTATAATTTCGTTATATACCTCTGATTTTCCAACCCATTAGGTTTATCTCCATTCTACCATGACAATTTTATGAACAATTTCAGTTGGAACTCTTTCTTTGGTTACGAGTCAATACGTGAAACGGCCTCGCATTCCAATCTCAAGTGGCATCGCCTGAAGCGGGGTGATTGGTGACAAACCGTCAATAACTAACAAACTCCAGATTCAGTAAAAACAAATGTTTTTTTTCAATGCATGAATAACCAATCATTAACTGATAAGTTGGAAAACATGCATCAAATAAGTTTAAAAAGCTTGGTTCACATTTGAAAATTCCACCGTAGACCCTTTCCCCGCCAGAATAATGGCAGCTACCTCATGGCCTTGACCTTTTCTCGGAAGTCATTGTTTACATTTACTTGCAAATTTGGAAAGATGCAACAGGAGAGCCTCTGACAGATTGCGCAAGGTTAACCTGATTGTATGACAGAGAGTCTTTGATATCTAATTACTGGTACAAAATTTAAGAGTAGAGGCGCTTTTGCTGTAATGAGAAGTCTGTGTTGTACCGAATTTAGATACTGTTGAATTTTGCCCTGTCAACTTGACGATTTTGCCCACCTCTACGTATGCGTGCGACAGAAGATTCAATGTGGTGACTCTTACACACTCATGTGTGCAGTTTGTACTCAAATTCGCTTCTACGGATATTGTTTCTACATTTTGGAAAGTGTTTATGACCTAGTGGCTTCAAAGTGTTACTGTGTAGTACGTGGATTCAAATTGAATCGGATTCGCTGGCATGTTCGCGAGGCTGTTGACAAAGAGCCAGATTTGTGGCGATATTTCCGAAAGGATGGAACAGGACATGAGGGTGTACCTCTGGCATAAACATGGTAAGGTAATTAATTATACTTTTAAATTAATAGACTACTTTAGAACAAGCAGTGTAATGGATAAGAGGGATCATGATTAAGCTAAGTCATTTTTTCAACAATATTATAATTTTAGAAAAAAATATGTTGCTGAATTACAGCAGGGAGAAATCACTCACTGTATGAGGAGATGTCGATCTCATCTGGCAGCTCAGTGATGTTCACCTCGAACCTCTCCTGGACGTCGTTGAGAATTTTGGCATCATTCTCATCCGACACAAATGTGATGGCCAACCCCTTGGTACCAAACCTTCCAGCTCGGGCAACCTGAAATCAAGATTGATGCTGGTGAGCGAAAGAACTTAGTCCTCTATGGTGGATACTAATTGTGGGGTGGGTGTTCGGGTGATGGTGATGGCGAGGGCAAGTTGGGGGTAGAGGGCCAGGGGGTTGGGGCTTGAGGGTGAGAATGAGGTCGAGTTGGGAGTTGGGAGAGGCATGAGGGCAGGGGTGAGTTGGGTTGAGGGCAGGGAGGTGAGGGAAAGTTTGGGGTGAGTGTGGTTAAGGGTACTTTTGTGAAATGTATGTTTAATGCATCACTCAGCAATATTGCAGTTGTATGACATCAAGTCAATAATATGGTTTGGAGGAGAAAATCCAGTGATTGATGTGAACATGGTTGCACACAAACGAACAAGTTACTAACCACCTGACCCATTTGGCAGTCCCGTATGGCCAACATCGGGTACAAAGGAACTATACTAATCCAGAATTCCAGCAGGGATCCAATAGAAAGCCATCTTGCAACATTCATTTCATGTTTAACACTTAAACCTTACGAACTCATTTGGTAAACTATGTAATTCTTTTAAATGAGGCAAGCAGATTTTCAAAGTTATGATCAAGACAAACATGTTAACATACACAATCCGCTGTCAGAATGCTTTAATAATGTGTATTGTCATTAGAATATATTCCAAACTATATAGATCAGGAGAATTCCCCCTACCCTGTGAAGGTATGTGTCAGAGTCTTCAGGCATGTCGTAGTTGAAGACAATGTTGACTCGCTCAATGTCCATGCCTCGGCCGAACAAGTTGGTTGCAACCAGAATTCTCTTCTGGAAGTCTTTGAACTGCTGGTACCGCGATAACCTGAATAAAAAGTTACTTTTTAAAAGACCCATTGATACCAAGAGCTACCTGTGGTTGAATAATGGTTTGGTTGTTTAACGCCACACTCAACAATATTCCAGCTATATGGTAGCAGTCGGTAAAATAATTGAATTTGGACCAGAAAATGCAGTGATCAACAGCATGATAACCGATCCACGCAACTGGGATATGATGACACAAGTCAACCAAGATAGATACTGATCCACGTAACTGAGATATGACGACAGTCAACGAAGATAAATACTGATCCACGCAACTGGGATATGATGACATTAGTCAACCAAGTTGGATACTGTTATCAACAAATCAGTTCTTAGTTCAATGCTTCATATGTCTGAAGTCCACAGCAACATCACGTGCACTTTCATAAAATTATTGATGACACATTGATGTTGGAGGTTCCGTTTGATTTTTAGGAAATAAGGATAAACAGTGAAAACTAAGGTTTCATGAACTCATTTGTGAAGGTTAGAAAATCCTGTGGACCGACTATCAGGAATTGTTCCTGCCTTGCCCGAAATTTACAAACATACCTCTCTTCTTGGGTCATAGCTCTGTGGATGGCAATAGCTGGGAAGTTTTGTTCGATCAAGAGCTGAGCCAGGGCCATGCATCGCTGTACGCTCTTCACGAAGATGATCACCTATAAAAGAGTACAACTGTCTACAAACATTTCTGTATGGGCACCTAACAAGTGAGGTGAGATGAAATTGGGTTTAATGTCGTGCTTGAGAATATTTTGCTCATATGACGACCTGCATGCGTGTGGATGTGTATGTGCGGCTACTTGTACTAGCCCAGACTGAAGCTGGTTTTATAGTGCTAGCCCACTGAGATACCATGCCGCAGTGAAGCAATACCCCACTCAGACACATTATACTGACTCAGAGCCGATCAGTCCTTGTTGTACCCATTAATGCCGAGCTGACAGGCAGGGACCAACAAGTGCCATATTTTAACGTCTTTCGGTATGACGGTCGGGGATCGCGGTCGGGGATCGAACCCGCGACCTTCCGCTCTCCGGGCGACACGCTATCCACTATACCATGGAGGCGGTTACCTTACAAGTGTTTGATAGGTAATCCACCACTATCACACAGACAAAATGCCAAGACATTGCAATAAGCCCGAATAAAACACAGGAATGAAACTCATCGAAAACCATTGGATAAGCAGAATGCTTTGGTCCCCTCTTAGACTTTGGTTGAATGCCGCTTTTAGCAATATTCCAGCTATATCACGGCCGGGGACACAAGAAATGGGCTTCACACATTGTACCAATGTGGAGAATCGAACCCAGTTCTTCAGCATGACGAGCTAACGCTTTAACCACTATGCTACCCCACCACCCCTCTTATTCAGAATACACCCACTATCCATATAGGCAAACAATCAGGTACTGATCAGTCTACAAACATTGGAACCTCTTCCCCTATGAAATATTTAAACACAGCCACCATGAAAAGAGACTTGTAACTTCATAGAAAATAGCTATAAGTTATTCCAACTGCTTCACTCGTAGTTGTAATACCTGGTTGAACTCAAGCACGTCAAGCAGTTCGAACAGCTTCCTGTTCTTCTCGTTGTCCTTCAGTTTGACGTAGTGCTGTTGCAAACCATGCAGGGTCAGCTTCGAGTCGTCGTCAACGTACACTTCCATCGGCTAGAAAACCACACATTACACATGTTACCCTCATGTTACCTGATCCGGGTCTCGGGAGGCCAGTCAGAAGCCAAACAATGAGGCTGGTCAGGTGCCCGACGAGGCCAGGAGTTGAAGGCGAGACGTCCGTCAGCCAGTTGATGGTGTTTGTCATGTGGTGTGGCCATAACTCCCAATGACATTTTCCAAAGGGGCAGTTGCCACAATTATTTCCCCTTAATTGATTAAATGCAAAACATCACTTTTCAATTTCTGAATATTGTAAATATCCAACGCGTAGATATTTCACACAAACTTGGCCACACCACAACTGAAAACATACTAGTCAGCCAAATTCAAGTTCACTTTTGTCCCATCAGAACAGAAATCTCAATAACGTGAACTTGGCTATCTAGTGCAAAGTACATTAATCTTGATGACATTTACATCATTGGATTTCTTTCCAAAACTAATCATGCATCAGCAAACAATACAAGTTAAAGCGTTAAGTACATCCAAGTGAGCAGGACATCCATTACAGAAATATTTCATCCATGGATATCCTCCCAATGTCCATGAGTGTTGATCTCCATAATCGGTGTACTTAGAACCAAATGAAGCTATTTGTATTCCCGTCTTACAATAGCCATTTTCATAAACCTGATTTACAGGTTTTGACCCTGTTCCACAAAGTAGTGCCGTAGTGCTGAAACATTAAGTGAGTGAGTGAGTTAAGTTTTACACTGCACTCGGCAATATTCCAGCTATATTGCAGCGGTCTGTAAATAACAGTCTGGACCAGACAATCCAGTGATCAACAGCATGAGCATCGATCTGCGCAATTGGGAACCGATGACGTGTCAACCAAGTCAGCGAGTCTGACCACCCGATCTCGCTGAAACATTAAGATTACAACTGCCTAGCACTGACAGCTTTGCGGAATCAGGATCTGGTAATGATTCTGGACATGACGCAATCAGGCCATTGATAAAGGTTTTACGTTGCTGAGAACAGCATTTCAGTTGCATGACAAAATGGCAGCTTAACCAAGGAAGGAGGCCATAAGTCACTGGACAACATTTGGAACAGTATTCAGCTGTACCCAAATCACAAAGGTATGACTTTGCCAAGTAATCAGTCACAGACTTCACCAAGTTGGGAAACCCATGTGAATGTGTGTTATGTTGACAAATCATGATTTACACTGTTTCTGGCACGTAACTCTGACAGGAGTATGTGGCAAAGATGTCCCGAAAGGCAATTATTTGTAACCACATCAATCACTCAAACACTGGATTCTCATTTAGATGTACATCACACAATCAAGCATATGAAACAAAATTCTTTCCATAATTACTTACACATTTTGGGAAAACAAACATTTACTAAGTAGTCGACAAAAACTGTTCCAAACAAAACATAAGCTCTGACCATGCATGATCACTGTCCCATTAATTTGACAATCTTTTAAAAAATTGATCGCATAATCTTTTCTGGATTTTTAATGGTGTCACTAGTAAATATTCTTAAATGAAAATCTACATCTGTCCCATTCCAACAAGGTATAAAAGGCCAAAAGTTTTGAAGGCGTTGAATTTCCAGTATCATAAGAAAAAATCAATTTGAAACTTATCACAATACCAAAAAACATGTAATCAGAAACAAAGACCAAATTAGCTGTAGGTGGCAGCACCAACTTGGTCAACATCAGCTGACAGCATACTTGCACATCCATGCCTACAGCCGGGATCTAGGACACCCAGGGGAGATAACTACGGATCACGATAACACGACGCTGGCGGATCCACACTGCTGGAGCACCTGTTGCACCAAGAAAGCTGGAACTTGTATGTGAAGATTCAGTCCGATGATCATACTCATGACAAAAGGAATGAACTCCAGAACAATATTCACAGTCCACACAGTCTGTTCATCTTGAGGCAAGACACACATGCCCTTTGCTTTGAGAGCGCAGGGTGCTAGTGTGCCTTCAGTCCATAACTTCCGCGGGATATCACTTTCACAAGAACATTCGAAGAAACATGAAGTATGTGTGTGTGCATGTGTTCTTGAGGATGCAAGACGTATTACTGAAATAGCAAATGACGTTTCTGACTGCATCTTGTGTTACTTTATCATATTCAGTACAATAAATGTAATCATTAACTGTCTAAGACATCCATCCTAGTGTGTATTTGCATCTGAATATGTATTGTAATCAGTGTACTGGGAAATCGTACACATTCATCAAGACGAATTTATAACCTTTCACGATGTCAAATTTTATCCTTATATATTATCATATTCATGTATTGTCTCATATTAAAGAGGTTTTGTGTTATTTTATTAGATGTTTGTTGAACCAGATAATATAAATGCTGCAAATCGAACCAATCATTTCCATCTCACGAGTAATTGATCATGAACTGATTTCGCGAACACATCATTTACAGGTAGCCAAGAGACACACGTCCCCCTTGCTAGGAGAGCGCGGGTTCAGTGTGCCCCACTACTATGAAATCCCTGGCAAGTGTGAAAATGACAGAAGTATTCAGGTACTGAGTAGCTAATGTGAAACGCCAATGCAGATATGTAAAGGGAATGTTTTAATGTTGTTTATAGGGATGAATAGTTATTTGAGAAACACCCTGTCCCTTTGCTATGAGAGCCAAGGTTTAGGGTACCTCTGTTAATATTTTTTAAAGAAAGAAGTTATTACATAATTGGATTGATGGTTAAAGATTTGTATGTTAATATTTATTATCTTGTAGAAAGTAAATTTTGAGAAACACTCTTTCCCCTTGCTTGGAGAGCTTAGGTTCCGAGTGCCTCTATAACACTGTGCTGACATGACTACTTGTGAAATGTATATGTTTATACCCTATAATAAGTAAATGAATGCTTCAACAGCCCTGTGACATGTTTTAACTACTGTGCTAATTTCATATTCCACCCAACTACATTTGAGACTCGCGTTTTACTGAAGAAGGTATTGTGCGACTATGCTGGTGCTTGATATGCAACAGAAGGGGATCCATGAATGCCAGGAAAAGCTGTAGGTCTTTTCCATGCATCTTGCACTGACTGCTGCCACAGCCATGGCAGGGAGAGCTCGGCGGTAGACGTAGCTGCGATGTAGGTGCAGAATCTGACATGGTGTGTCAGCATCTAGATCAGCCATTGCATTCAATGCCATGGCCACAATAACCAACTGAAGAAAAAGAAACTTGGCGAGAAGGGTGTGTTGTAATTACATCTTGCATGAACTTCTTGCAGATCGGTCGGACATCTTTGCTGAGAGTGGCGCTGAACATCATCACTTGTTTCTCGTGTGGCGTCAGGCGGAAAATTTCTTGGACATCTCGTCTCATATCTGAATCAAGATTGTTCCTTTTCATTTAAAGCAAATATTGTCTAGATACGTCTGAACTTTTATTTAAATACACACCTTCCCTATGAATAGTTTTTTAATGTCTCACTAGAACTTTGGAAATCGAAAGATAAAAAATTAATCTTAAGTGAACAAAAACAAAATTATTACAAATATGACTTGTTTCATGAACTAAAGAAAAAGATTACATGGTGAACTAACTCACCCAATTCCGCCAGCATCTTGTCGCACTCGTCCAGGATGAAGTGTTTGATGTGCTTCAGACTCAGAGTCTTGTTACGTGTGAGGGCAAGGATACGACCAGGGGTTCCCACCACAATGTGTGGGCAGTTCTTCTTCAGCACCTCTTCATCTTTCTTCACCGACATTCCACCGAAGAACACGGCGATCTTGACGTTGTTCATGTACTTACTGAACCTCTCATACTCCTTGCTGATCTGGAAGGCCAGCTCACGTGTGTGGGCAAGAACCAAAACTGATACCTGAAAGTAGACAAGCATGGTTGTCACTTGTTACACCATAAATGAGTTAGTAAGGGTCAGAATTTAGGGTTATTGAGAGTGAGTTTAGTTTTATGCCGCTTTTAGCAATATTCCAGCAATATCATGGTGGGGAACACAGGAAATGGGCTCCATACATTGTACCCATGTGGGGAATCAAAGGGTCTTCGGCGTGACGAGTGAACGCTTTAACCACTGGGCTACCCCACCACCCCTTAAGGGTTATTGGTTCCACAAGGTTAACTGATAAGATTTGAAAATACAATCTCCTTATTAGGTCTAAAAATTATGGTCATGACAAGGCTCCCATTATGATAATTTTTAATTTCAAGTGCCGAACTGAGAAATCAATTTCTGCATTATCTTAATATGAAGAGGTTTTCTAGAACAATATACATGGGAACACTTTTCTTTCATGCAAACTTTTAACATAACATGCTTATCAGCTACAGACAAGGTGGTCATGTAGTACATTAATGCTAACAAACTGACAACTAAACAAATTCAACAGTTCTAAACAAAAGTGGGAGACCTTTCACGTCCTTATGGTTTGGTATTGGATTTGAACCCAGTGACTTTATATTATACTAATAGTGTCATGACAAGGAAAAGACAATAACATGCTTAATTTCAGTCTCTGCAAGCATAAGAGGCATTACACAGTATTTATTTCATGGACTTACCTGTCCGTCAACAGGCTCAAGTTGCTGAAGAGTCGCCAGCACAAACACAGCAGTCTTTCCCATACCAGACTTAGCCTGGCACAACACATCCATGGAGAGGATGGCCTGGGGAATGCATTCGTGCTGAACTGAAACAGGAGGGCCGGCATGAACAACACTTCCATAAAGCTGTACCCACCAATGTACAGACAATAATTTCGTTCTCATGATTCATTTTACCTTCAAGAGTGCGAGTTTGGTTTTACGTTGCTTTTAGCAATATTCCAGCAATATCACAGTGGGGACAACAGAAATGGGCTTCACACATTGACCCATGTGGGGAATCTAACCTGGGTCTTCGACGTAATGAGCGAACGCTTTAACCACTAGGCTACCCCACCACCTTTTCCTTTAAGCAATGGCGAAAGTTTTACTCAGTTTTAGTCAACATGACTACTGGCGACAACATAAGGAATAAATATTGAACATAACTGTTTGAGTTTCAATGAGCTTGTACAAAAGTTCAAACTGAAGGCTAAGTATGGGTTTACATAACTTTCAGCAATATTTCTGCCCTATCACGCACCAAATAAAAATCAGCTCAACTCCAATAGTCCTTGCAAAACAGCTCAATATATCAAAAGGTTTTGTTTGGTTGTTGTTTAACACCACACTCAGCAATATTTCAGCTTTATTGTGGCGATCTGTAAATAGTCGAATCGACCAGACAATACAGTGATTAACAGCATGAAATGTGGCAAAATTTGTTGAGAACAATACCTTCTGACGGATGCTCAAACCCACAGTCTACAATGGCTCGCAGCAGTTCTGGTTTAAGCAGGAAGTCTCGGAAGCCAGAGCTGTGTATGGATACATATGTTCCTTTGACATCTTTCTTGACTTGCCCATCACCAGCGGCCCCCTCTGTGGTGGTTTCATTATCATCCTCCTCGTAGTCCAAGATCTCATTTTCAACTTCGGTATCTCCCATCTTTGATTTCTAAGAAAAGATTTTTTTCTTATTATCATTTCTGAAGATCTGATACCATTTATTTTTAAGAACAGACAATATTTGCCAGTGCCTGTTCGCTAATAATAATAATGCCAAACAATGAAGGTAAGAACAACATTTATACTTTTTTATACATTTATTGCTTGACAAAAATCTGAATAAATGGAAAGCAAGTTAAACTTTCCCTTTCCTGACAATTTCTCTTTTGAGTTTCTTTCTAATTTAACACTCGCGAAAACAGTGATTAATATTATGAACATCCTAGGATCTGATGCACCATTACCAAATAAACCCTAACACATCTTCTCAACTGTTTTGGGACACAGTAAACCTGTGGTAAGAATGAAATTATCAGTGATTAGTACTGTCAGCCAAAACCTTAAAACAAGTCGTATCAAGCCAATGTCTACAATGACCTGTCAAATTTCTTATGGTCTGACAACCAAGTAACTTTGAATAATGGAAGGGTGAAGACCAATGTCTAAATTACCCTGTCTTCGGAAAGCACCTCAATAACCATATCAACTTGATGCCACCTATTCGGGAATAGGTCTGTTCCATTAGCATGTTTAGCTTTGCCAAGTTATTTCAAGGTAACTATTTCACATAAATAATGGCAACCAACCAAGACACCATGATGATCAGTATTAATGCTTTAAATTTTAATCAATATAATCTTGAAGTTACTCACAAAAAAAACCCCTTCAGATGAAGTAATTTGTGTTTCCAGTAATTAGTAATATCTCAATCTTAACATTATTAGGAAAACTTCAAAACATTTGTGAACTTCATTGGTTCCCAAAGAAAGCAATCAGTTTGGGAGCAATGAAGAGTACTTGTGCTTCAGGATCCTTGATATTTAAAAAATGCAAGTGGAATGTAATTCAACTTGTTAATACAAAGGAACACTCAATTACATTACCATAATGAAATGCACAGGCATTATTTCAACATATGTCTGCTCCTACTCCTTTGGTTTGAAGAATTGTACTGGATATGGAATGCACAGTCTCTACTTGCTGCATATATAGAAGGTATCAAAATAGAACTTATATCATTCTAGTTACTAAGAACTATATATAGGAGATTATCATACCTCAGCATTTTCTATTTTGGATTCCACATCAGGCACGTAGCAATCCATTTTTTTGTCGTGCAAGCCCAATAGGTTCAAAGCTTTATATGTACATAGTATTGAGGGCTTGCCCAACCATAATAGCAAAAATCATGTGTAAGCCCAGGCTTTTTTTCATAATGGTAGCATCATTGTTTGAAAAACATAAGCATAAGCTCTTTAATGGGCACAATGCTTCTGCCATAGTAGTCAGGAATCAGGTCAGATTACCCACTCTATATTTTTAGCACATTTACTCATGACCTACTGGCAGGAATGCTGAATGATGTCATTTGAGGCTCCATTATTACTTGATGTGAATTTATACCACAAACTCATTTCTTGAAAGACGCCTTTAACGTAACATGCATTACATGCTGCACCTTCGGCCTAAGATACCATCCGAGTAATCTAGGTGTCTGATAATGTCCTTATCGAAACGACTAAGCTTGACGGGAACAAGCTGTTGTCTTCTTTGTGCTCAGATCTTAGGATTTCGTGTCGAAGTTATAAATTCAAGTACAGTTTACATCTTTGATGGGCATATCTGTCACATGAAGTATTTTGAATCGACATAATACTAAGAAATCCTATCGGGAGTGTTAAACCATGAAGCAATTCTTAAGGAAAATGTAATCTCGACCTGGATACAAGTCGCCATTTTGAAACTTTACACATTACATTAGTACTGAGGCAGATGTGAGGACAATCCCAACTGCAGTACACACTTACATTAAAATAAACGGTCACTGATGAATAAGAGATGTTGCTTTAAACTATAGTTACAAAATAAATAAGACTGAAACTCCGCCAGCAACGGATGGCATCTGACAAACCTTTACCTTTGAAGAGAACTGCCACGCACTTGTCTGATGGGGTATGTTACTTCCGGTGTTGTACGCAGTGAATGGGGACCAGCAGAAATACTTTAATGATTTGTCTTCGCATTTTTTAAAAACTAATCACGAAACGCAAAGCCTTTGTATTAGTGTAACAATAATTGTTCATGATATTTCTAAATATCCACATAAGTTATAATGATTGTACACGAATCATTTTTCAACACATATTCTTAATCACTGAAACACTGATGAGACGTCCCCTTACGCTGATGATGTCACATGACATCAAAATGGCGGATGGGGATGATTTGGATGAGGATAAGAAAACTATAGATGCAAATGACAGTGTTGTCGAAATGAATGGAGAAAATGACGAAGACGATTTGTATGATGGAAGTGATCTTGAAAGTCTTGTGGATGGATGTGCTCAAGGTCGTTATGATAATATTTCACCATGACATAGACATCTTTAGCCGAGCTAATCTGTCATTTGTCAAATTGAGATTTGATGACAGGAATCTTGACATATTGATGATTGTAGACACGAGTAGCTGGTTAGAGTCGCCGTTGTATTATAGAAAAAAAATCCTTGCTGCGCGGTGGAAGATACTGGGCATATTTGGTCACTGAAATGAAATGTGTAATTCAAGGCTTTGACTTTGTCGACAGGTCAAGTTCAAATATACAGACTGTTATTGTCGAACAGGATCAAGTACATTGAAAATACTACAGGCTTGACAGTGTTATATGAGGATAGCCATTGCTTTGGCTGAAGGGGTCGTTTGGGCACAGGTACATGACTATATACATTGATAAATACTGTATACAGATATGTACCCTAAACAAAGTCACAGATATTTTTGTAACAGGCATTATTAAGCACAAGCCCAAGGAATGGAATAGTTGTTCCTGTTCAACTGATTGCGAGTGGTACTCATATGCATCGCAAAATATCTGTTACTGTGTATTCTCATTACTTCCATAATGCAATCAAATGTATCCAATAACAACATAACAGTTCCGATCAAGAATGGGAATGGAATCGTCCTAGGGTACGTTTCTGTATTCTCATTATGGCCAGGGTACGTTTCAGAAACGTACCTGCGGTACATATCTGTAGTACCCGTGCCGACAACGACCCCTTCAGCATTGCTTTGGCTAAGAGGAGTATATTGTTGATGAAAATTATTTGGTACCCTCTTGTTTCACTTCCAAACCACGTTGGAAAGAAACACATCTCAATACAACATTTGTTGTTCCTGCATAGTGCCATTGGTGTAGCAAACATCAGTTCTAAAACAATATGAAAAAGGAAACCTCCTTCTAACAGCCCAAAACTTTAGAGTCCATTGACCTGAAGCACAATATTATTTCTTGCCCCAGCAAGATGGAAAAAATACTTTTACTCATTAACTGTTAACTGTTTCTTGCGAGATACAATGTGGGTATCTTTGAAAGTTATATCAGTCAATAATCACAGCAGTTACTGACCAAACAATCTGCTGAAGTGACGACTTTGGTGAGCTATTAATTTTTGTTTTCAACTTATCATAGAAGAAAGTTGTTGTATGAGGCATTAAACAACAGACACGTTTAAATATTGCCTTAACTTTGTTACATGCATCATAAAATGCATGATAATGTCCATTCTGCCTTTACAGAATATAGTGATCTGAACAACACTTTAGACAAACTGGATGAATGTCTGAACACTCTGGAAGAGAGAAGTGATGATCTTTATTCCAAGTTCAAGGACCTTCTCGAGTCCAGTCGACAGGCCAGGCAGGAACTGGAGGAAGAACGTCGTAAAGGTGAAGATGTCAGCATCCCAGACAGTGAAACAAAGGACAGTTCATAGTCCATCATCTAAATTACTATGTGCAGTCCGACCAGTCTGAATACACTGAAAACAAAACCAGGCATGAACCTTTAAGGTCACCATCAAGGGCTATCGGTAGACTTCAGACCTGCTTGATCATGTGACATCAATCAGTAATGATGAAATTCCTATTTTGCCACACTGCACTACATGAACAATTAAGATTTTCCTATGACTGAGATAGCTTGCTCAGTTATGGGTGATAATGACTTTAACATGTCTTCTCAGAGGTATATTTAGAAATAGCTCCATGTATACTCCAGGGAAAGCCATAACAGAACATTTACTGGGGATGCTTTCAGCTTCTTTTTTCGTGGCAGTTTGGGTTAATTCTGCTGTATTCTGGCATTCCAAATGTAGTAATTTAGAGAGATGAATGTACAAAATTCTTCAGGAAAACATACTACAAATGTATCAGGACTTTATGTAACTAAAAATGATATATTAATCCATTAATCATCATTGTACTTTTTATCACCTACAGATTGAAATCACATTTTAAGATGATTTAGATAATCCTGTACAATCTGTTTTTAAATATTTATTTATTTTCAAAATCTGTACACCTAATATAAATATGTATTGCTTCCAAGCTGATCAAAAATAGATTTCAGTGAAAACTTTCTTTATTGTCCCCATTATGCATCATTTTCCATAATGATAAGTGTTCTCCTTTTGTAAACAGTATTGATCAAACTGTGAAGCCATTTACACAATACCATCATTTTTAGTTTATGTATAGCTGTCTGGATTCCACTTCATCTGGAAGTGTTTGAAAGGCATATAATTTTATATGTAGTTCTAGTCAGGTCCTGTGAAATATCTGTCAATATTTTCGTCATTGTAAATCCTTATTTATCCGCATCATTTCATAATTTTTAAAGATTAGCTGGTTGGATGGGAAATGATAGTTTTCAAACTTTAAACAGCACCTATCCACTGATGCAGACTGGCACCAGCCTGCTCATCAGATTGTTTTGTTCCCACGGGATTGGGGTATTTTTAAGTTTCAGGTGGTGTCACATGTTATCATTATTTTTCCGGCAAAGATACAGAAAGATGGAAATGGCGCACATTGGTCTTAGAATGTCTCTAGATAAAACATTCAATGAATTATGTGTAATAGTTATATATAAGGAGGGCATTATGTAACTGTAAAGCTTAAATGTTTCATTATTGTTGCAAGTGTTCAGAAAGTGACCCTTCAAAGAAGTGTAATTTTTACATATATTTTGTTGGAATATACTTAAAGTACACCTCGGGTATAACATTGTAGGCTCAATACTACAGCAAGTTTACTGCAGAATAGAAACATTCAATGGGTTTCTTAGGGTAGTGGTCTTTCACTGCTAATAATGTTTGTTGACATAATCCATTCCTGAAAGTAATGGATAATGATATTAAATTTTTTCATAAGGTTTCGCACCAAGAATACGTTAATCACAGAACATCTTCTCAGTTACATAATGACAACTCCTGAGAATAACCACCTTGATGATATTCCGGAACAGATTCCATGTGTGAAAGGCAATATAGGGGTGAAAATTGTATGAATGGATCTTCTACAATCATTGATACCAGAATTTTCCCTAAAAGGAGAAAAGAGTGAGTATGTCACAAAAAATGCTGCTCCTCATTTTTGAGTGAAATATTGAATGAGTTGAAGCCAATTGATGTGCGTCCCTAAAACATATTAAAGTGGTACAGGAAATGTACACTGGTCTATGCTGCATAGGAGAAATATTGTATTTGGAACTTTTAGCCAGGAATAAGCGATTGCTAGTGATGTTAAGTGTGATTGTTTCTGTGATCAATGTTCACATGTATGTCTTGTTTTAAGTGAACATGTTGGGAATGTTTATTTACATATTGTTGGAATTTAATCATTTCAATGTTTTCATTGAATAAAATGTCAGTTGTCTTATGGTATATTATGTGATGTTTACAAATAAAACTAACATGTAGGATGTAACGGATGCCAGTCGAGTTATTATTTTGTGCAGTTCACTCTATCAAGAGTACGTCATTCATCACTGTGTGTCAGCTGGATGTGTGGAGAAAGGAGGTGGTGGGGTAGCCTAGTGGTAAAAGCATTCGCTTGTCACGCCAGGGCCCGGGTTTGATTCTACACATGGTTACAATGTGTGAAGCCCATTTCTGGTGTCTCCAGCCTTGATATTGCTGGAATATTGCTAAAATGGTGTAAAACCATACTCACTGTGTGGGAAAAGCAGAGAGCAATACACCTCTTTAGTTTTGGCCCATGTGGGATTCAAGACCATCAGATCCTGGCTTGAATAATGGAGGGATCTCTGGATAGCAAACATTGGTTGCCTTAGACCACAGATGCCCCTCAAATACAAATTATCAAAAATATTCATAACATCCATCTGTGCCTTGTCCTACTGTTCCAGTTGGGTTTATCATGTCTAGCTGTCAACAGCTGGTATTTCATTCACACATTCCCCAAAGCTGTTTCTACTTTCAGCCATCTAACAAAAGCCATTCTTCCTTCCATCCACCTCCCAAGAGCCGTTCCCCCTTCAGCCACCTCCCAACAGACTTTCCCCCCTTCAGCCACCTCCCAACAGCCGTTCCCCCTTCAGCCACCTCCCAACAGCCGTTCCCCCTTCAGCCACCTCCCAACAGCCGTTCCCCCTTCAGCCACCTCCCAACAGCCGTTCCCCCTTCAGTCACCTCCCAGCAGTCGTTCCCTTCAGCCACCTCCCAACAGCCGTTCCCCCTTTCAGTCACCTCCTAGCAGTCGTTCCCCCTTCAGCCACCTCCTCCTTCCTGCCAACAGCCATTCCTCCTTTCAGCCACCTCCCAATAGCCATTCCCCCTTTCAGCCACCTCCCAACAGCTGTTCCCTTCAGCCACCTCCCAACAGCCGTTTCTTCCCTTCAGCCACCTCCCAACAGCCATTTCCCCTTTCAGCCACCTCCCTTCTTCCCTTCAGCCACCTCCCAACCAGCAGCTTTTCCCTTCAGCCACCTCCCAACAGCCATTCTTCCCTTCAGCCACCTCCCAACAGCCGTTCCCCTTCAGCCACCTCCCAACAGCCATTCCCCCTTCAGCCACCTCCCAACAGCCGTTTCTTCCCTTCTTCAGCCACCTCCCAACAGCCATTCCCCCCTTCAGCCACCTCCCAACAGCCTTTCCCCTTCAGCCACCTCCCAACAGCCATTCCCCTTCAGCCACCTCCCAACAGCCGTTTCCCCTTCAGCCACCTCCCAACAGCCATTTCCCTTCAGCCCTCCCAACAGCTGTTTTTCCCCTTCAGCCACCTCCCAACAGCCATTCCCCTTTCAGCCACCTCCCAACCACGGTCTTCAGCTTCCCTTCAGCCACCTCCCCCAACAGCTGTTTCACCCTTCAGCCACCTCCCAACCACCGTTCTTCCCTTCAGCTACCTCCCAACAGCACTTTTTCCCCTTCAGCCACCTCCCACCAGCTGTTCTTCCCTTCAGCCACCTCCCAACAGCATTTTTTTCCCTTCAGCCACCTCCCAACAGCTCTTTTTCCCTTTCAGCCACCTCCCAACAACACATTTTTCCCTTCAGCCATCTCCCAACAGCTGTTCTTCCCTTCAGCCATCTCCCAACAGCTGTTTTTCCCTTCAGCCATCTCCCAACAGCTGTTCTTCCCTTCAGCCATCTCCCAACAGCTGCTATTCCCTTCAGCCATCTCCCAACAGCTGTTTTTCCCTTCAGCCATCTCCCAACAGACGTTCTTCCCTTCAGGCCCCCCCCAACAGCTGTTTTACCCTTTAGCCACCTCGCAACAGCCGTTCTTCCCTTAAGCTACCTCCCAACAGCACTTTTTCCCCTTCAGCCACCTTCCAACAGAACTTTTTTCACTTCAGCCATCTCCCAACTGCTGTTCTTTTTTCAGTCACCTCTTAACAACCGTTCATCCCCTCAGCCACGTCCCAACAGCCATTGTTACACCAACATTTGATCAGTGACAGTTCTGTTATGCAAAAAAAATAAAGTTTCCACTTGTCCTCAAGCATTTAAAAAAGAGAATTTCTATGGCTCATGACTTCCGCACAGCAAAACAAAAGTTTCCATGTGTTGCAAGCCTCGTAGTTTCTACCTGACAGATGACAATAAACAGACCTAGGTACATCTGCACAGCCATTAGACCTGTAGGACAGCAATGACATCATTGTGGAATCTCTGGATGTTCATACTGAGAAACAGGTTTTTTCCTGCAAAGCTCATGAGGCGTCAGAAGCAAGATACTATAACTTGCACAACTATTGATAGATAGTTGACAGTGAAGAGGACTTCTGTTGAAGATTTTTATTCTGTAATGACAGCTAAAATATTTCCAATAATGTCTGGAAATTATGTATTAAAGGCTTTTGAAGGAAATATAACCTCAATGAAGATGTGAATACCTCCATAAAAGAACAAAATTAAATATCTACATACTTTTATTGGAGAGAATAAACTGCATTTCATTTGATCCACATGAAGTGTAGTTTCAGTCAGGAGCTTAAGCAACTTACAACATGTTAATCTCTTCAAAATTTGGACCATTTTTTGACGACCATTCCCAATTGCTTATCCTGTTGTTCATGACCTTCACCCTTAAGCATCATTACCCTAAGTAGCAGCGAAGTGCACTTACTGAAAGAAATGGTGAATTTAAAATTTGGTAAATTCACCCGATTATTTTGTACCTTTTAAAAGGACAATATATATGTCATCCTGAAATTATCTGAGCTGTGTCTTGACTAGTGTTGTAACGATGTATCGAACTATCAATGAATTGCAATTGTTGAGTCTCCGATAGCAATTAATCAATGGTAGAAATGAAAAACTATTGACGCATCGATAGTATGTGCGACTATCGATAGTCTAGTAATTGACTTCTGTTGATAAATGCACAGCACAAAATACAGAAAGTACCAGATTCATTCACTTTGATTTAGAGTTATATGCCTGTTACCTCTTAAATAAACATGGCATGCGACTCAGTGTTTGAAATTGTGAATAACAATAAGTTTATGTTTTAACTGTTTACTTGATCTGGGTTTCAAGTTTCTTGTCAGTTATTAAAAGAGATTGAAACTACTTCAACTTGGTTTTATTTCACATAAACTATACATTCATTTGGAAAATGACTTCAAATGAGACAATTCAAGGAGAAAAAAACTATTGCAATAGTTGGTTGCAATAGACGATCACTATCGCAATAGTTGTTTCCCCTCAATAGTCACCCCTAGTCTTGACAGTTCTGATCATGGATATATTCCAGGACAGCCTATGTCCCAACCAACCTATACTTGTCTCAGGATAAAATATAATATGAAATCAATGGAAGTGTATGAATTACCTGGAGGGCTAGTTAAGTGAAAATGTTACTCGTCCACATGATATTTCACTGGCCCTGCAAAATATCAATATCAAAATGCACATCGGTCTGTATTGGTGTGATGTTTGGTAATTGAAGATGGTAAGTTTTTTCGCCCCATGGAAACAATATAAACGGTATAAAACTAAAAGACTTCAGCCAGACCACAGGGCTGGTTAGATGTAAAACTTGCCAGCTCTGACCTAAACTTACCTGCCCACAAAAGTACTAACATACATGTCTGTAATTTTGGCCTGACCGTCAGGCAGGTGAATTTGAGAATCTGGCTGTCCGTGTTGACTGGTCGGGCAGGCAGGTATTTCGAACACTGATATAAATCAAACAAACACAAATACTAAAATTTATTTATTTATTGAATACAGGTTGGAGAAAACACTGCCCTGAGGCCTTTTAAAACCTTAACAATTGACTTCATCACATCCATATGCATTAAATGAAGAACAAATTATCTGAGATTAATATAGACCATAGAGATCCATGTTTTTCACATACACAATTTCATGTTACTCAAAATAACAGTAAATGATTCAGTAAAAATATCATTGACATCGTCACAACAGTAAAACGTTTAGAGAAAGCATCGAGGCAGTGAAAAAATACATTGTTGCTATTGCACTGAAAATGCGACATTATCTTCACAGTGTATAAGTCATGGTTGGATAAGTCATGTGACTATTAACCTTCTAGCTCCTCACTGGCAGCTTGGGTTATCCGGGGTAATAATAATAAGATTGTTAGCGCTATAAACATTCACCTAGTGAATGGAGTTTAGCACATTATAAATGCACTTATTATTATTATTATTGTTACTATCATCTCTGTGTTGCACCCTACTAGTGTATATAATACACCCTTATATATCATACGCCTCAAAATGGAATGTTGGATCAATATTCAGTCTGAATACACTTAGGCTCAGTATTATTCGTTACACTGCTAAACTGAATCTAACAAACCCCTAGTTGAAGGTCGCGTCAGCTAACCTTTTGAATTGACCAATCAGAACACAGCTTACCAAATCGCGAAAGTTAACATTCACACATTCCATTTGAACTTTCATCTCAAAAACGTTTCCAATGGAATGATTCCAAATGCTATTTTCCGCATGACTGCTTCCAAGTGATACACATGGAGAACATCATTATTCACAACAGTGCATAAACAGTCACTGAAAATAGCGTTTTTGTCAAATTTCCAGGATGTCATCTTGCGGGAATATAAGCTAATAGTAACCATGTCATCAGAAACCCCTAAGCGTATATACTGCAGGTCAAATATTTGTGTCTTATGCAGATTTTCATTTGTTGAGAGATCAGTGTCAGCGACTGGGGAAGAGAAAATTTTGAAAAAGTCCCACCGAACCCTAAAATAGTAGCCGTTGTCTGATTGGTTAAATCCGTTCATCCGTATCGCCTTTGATCGGGCGGTCATAGGTCACTCAAAGGTTAGCTGACGCGACCTTCTACTAGGGTTCGTTAGACTCAGTATAGCAGTGTAACGAACAATACTGAGCCTAAGTTTACCTAGACTGGATCAATATTATACCCTGTATAAATAAATATCAAATGCAAGAAAGGAAATTTTAAATATGGTGAAAAACAATATCAACAAATTATATACATACAGTTCACTTTTGAAATGTATACAAGAGTTAAGTGACAGTGTCAGACAACTGTCATTACAACTAGTGCTGGTCATATGCAGATTTGTAATCGGAGCTCAGTAATCAGTAGGGGTGAAACGGTACGCTCTTACCATGGTACGGTACATATTGTGGAACAAAGTCTTCGTTTCGGTCCGTTTCGTTTCGGTGTACAAGATATGATCATATTCATAATGCAGAAAATTTACAACAAGAGCTAAACCTTACAGAAATGATTTCTAGACATTTTAGAAAAGGTTTAAAAAGGTTAATATAATGACAGTACGAAAACCGAAAATACCGAATTTTTGGATTGCATTACAGTATAGCGAACCAAAGGCAAAATACCGCAGTTCTACTAATATCACGGTATACCGTTACACCCCTAGTAATCAGTCAATAATCGATTGTAATCATAACCCAACCACAAAACTCATGTGAGTTTTAAGGGGACACAATCATAACACTGTACAAGCAAAACAGGCAGCAATTAATACCATGATCAAGACGATCGAGGATACTTCCAGTTGAGATACACACACAAGTGTTGTCGTTCATATTGCAGTTTCACAAGTCAGGAAACTGCATCAGTTGTTTACGTCTTGATGTAACAAACATAACAACAAGGAACATACTTTCTAAAGGTTACCGCATCAGAACAGGAGGAAGTCTGACAATTCTGTCAAAGCTGATAACAGAGTTGTCTCCCTTGAACTGATTGTCATTTCTTCAGATACAGACATGAATGTTATTTCAGTGTCTGTGATACAAGTCACTACACAAGTTTACCGTATATTACCGTAGATAAGCCGACCCCATAGATAAGCTGACCCCCAAACTTGACCCTTAAAATCAGTGTCAAAATGGTACCGGTATGTTTCATACATAAGCGATGGGATCCTAATCGCAGCAAACACAGACCACAGACAACTGGCAGTTACCCATAATCATAACTTCGGTCTGTATTGTTAAAAGAATTCACAATCATACTGCGTCTACTCACACATCGAAATGAAGTGTAGTTGACAGGTCATTCAATGTTTCATTTTTGTGAAGATCGATTAGTGTCCCGGTCTCATTGATATTCGCTGATGCAAGTGAGATCAGTCGATCGACAGATTATTTGATCAATTGCTCAAGGACTAGTAACAACAGGCCATCATTTCACCTCTCAGCAGGCACCTTCCCAGAGAATAACCTGGTCTCGGGGATATTCTAAAGAAAGTATTTCTGTTCCAGTGATATTCTATAGCAAATCTCTTTTTACCAAATATTTTCTTTATTAAGTCCCTATCTCAAGTGTATTTTTTAGAAAGTTTCTATGTGCCAAGGATATTCTGAAGAATATCTCTCACTGGAGATATATTCTGCATTTGAACACAGTTTGCATGAAAAAGGTACATAAACATGTAAAATCAAATATCAAATGACAAATGAATTCTTCATATTTCATTTGATCAAAGTTACATCCTATGTATCTGTGGCCTAGGAACCACTACACTACAAAGGCATTTGTGGTACAGGGGCAGTGATAAGCCACAATGCTTTTAAAAATCTTTTGTTTTCATTAACATGAACATCAGCTACTGGCAAACAAGGATAAGTTGAGCACCGACCTGACAATTGACCCTATTAGCATGTATGAGTGCCGCCCACTGGCACTTGCCATTGTTAGTGAAGGGGCCCCAGGTTGTCCCCAATCAAGTGTAGTGCGACTTGCTACACCGACATGAGAGTCTTATGAGCAAGGCATGTGCAGATACGCGCTGAATCAATTTAATCGTCATACAATGCACGTGCACTTGCCTACATCTGCTCTACCTTTGACAAACCAAATGTGTTTGCTCATTGTCATGCACCACCTACTTCTCGTGAACGCTTTCTCAACTTTTCCTTGTTTGCCAGTAGACTATCATTAAAATTTTGACACAGTTCCCTATTTGTTACGAGGGAGGGGTGCAAAGACAGGAACAGCCAGGTGTGTGAGAAAGGATGGAGAAAGCACAGCACAGGTAAATGATTCAACAACTTTGTCGGCACTTGTGCACGTGCTCCGCGTACACCTGGCTGTTCCGCTCTTTGCAGTCCTCCTTCATAACAAATAGTGAACTTTGTCAAAATTTTAATGATAGTTAGTTAAACAACTTTTTTTTATTTTTAGGACATAAATTTTGGCAAAAAAAATCACAGAGTTGATCTGATGTTTTGATTATGGTCAGTGTTTCATTGAGTATTATATGTTTAGTAGATTGCAATTCACTGGTCCGATTTTGAGCCAAACGGACTATAACTGTTCTGTTAATATCAGTTTAATTTGGAAGTCAACATACAAAACACACAGCAACTCAATCACATGTACTTTAGTTTGGGTAAGAAACCTTTCCTAAAACACACAAGATGCAAAAGGTTTCATACAGATAAACATTTGATCACCCCAATCAACTGAATGTTTTAAGGTGCAGCATCACGGCAGACATGACTTCCACTGTATCTATTACAAGGACAAGAAGACAACTTTGACTGTCTTGCAAATGGGAACTAATGAATCCTTTCAGTTTGATAAATGTAAACAAGCAAGACAACTTTGGACTGTCTTTGCAAGATATGGAGTTGCAAGATTCTCTTTTTTATGGAATCCTTTCAATTAAGATAATTAGAAATGTACCTACTATTTAAATAGTGTTTGGTAGGTGGATTTGTAAACCAAGTGTCACCTTAAAGGCACAATGTCACATATTTTCGACAATATTTTAGCCTATAGTATATACACTGGGGCATATGCACTCACCTTATCTTCCTATTGATGCAATAAAAGACTTACTATCCCTTATGACTTGCCTGAAATCGATAATTGAAACTTCGAGGTGAACAGCTTCCAAACAGAGAACACTTGCCATATATGGAATGTAAACAATTGCTACATACATCGAAAACTGTGTTGTCGGTGTTTGCAGAACTGGTTTCAATCACAAGTTGTGTGTAGGATATTCGTAAAGAGTGCTCCAAGGGACACAACTCTATGGGGTTCACTTGAAATAATGTACGGGGGGTAGAGGGTGTGAGAGTCAATTTAATACAACGTTGCATTAATTCTTTCAAACTTTTTAATTTAATATTGTAATCTAAATATGTAAAAAAAAAATGGAATAAATTATATGGTAGCTTCCCTGAGGGCTGATACTTAGTATTATTGAGAGAAATACATTATTTATTTTTAGAGAAGTGTGGTGTGATATAGTGCCTTTAACAGCGAAGCAACTTCATCCTGATACATTTTCTGATCTGTCTTGCTTTAGCTGCAAATATCCAGCACACCAGAGCGGTCAAAAGCAGAGCTCCAAACGCCATAACTGTAAGTAGTTTTGTAAACCTATCTGCAGAGACATCAAAGTTTGACATCGAACATCTGTACAATGCTGAATGACGGAAACAATACAGATTGGAGTCCGATCCTCTCAGGTAGGAGGAAATCTCCCCAAAACCACTCTGGCCTATAATGAGAGTTTCACATGACGCTAACACAATTTGATCCAGGATAACTTTGGAAAATCCTCCACACATTTCTTCTTTAACCTTGGTTGATCGTTCAATATGGACAAGTGGACCTGGTAAGTCGACTGTTAAATCTGGAAAATATTTTGCTGCATCAGCACGAACCTGCTCCGAATCGGATGTGACAAATATCTTAAAGTTTTCATTATTAGAATGATGGTGATGATGATGATGGTTGCCATGGTGGTGATGGTGGTTGCCATGGTGATGATGGTGGTCACTGTGACTGTGTTCTAGGCTCCCCTGTCCAGAGTGAAAGCCTCTAAAGAAATCCCACACTAATCTTACATCGTAATAAGAACCTCTCACTTCTGTATCATTTAAATTTGAAGGATTTCTTCCAAGTCGAATTTGAGCACATTTCAGGGAAGATCCAAGAGGAAGCTTCATGTTAAACTCTTGCAATTTCTCCTCCAGTGCAGGAGAAAGGCGAAATAATGTTTTATAAACATGACTGAAAACTTCATGATTCTTCATTCCAACCATCCACTTAAAATTATCAGAATATAAAACATTTCTTCTCAAATGGGGCACAATGTCTAAATTAAAGGCAAAATAAGTCACTCTGTGGGGAAACGTATTCTCTAGTTTCATCAACTCTGTATTTTTCATAAAAACAGCATCGCTCATTCCCATAAAGAAAGAAGTACTGTCATTTCCCAACTTTGACACATCTATCCGCCAATCAATCAAGTTCGGCAATAAGTAGTTTGAGATGTCACATGGCACAGTCATATGAATTCCGAACTTCCTGTTGGTAGCATTAGCCAGGAGATATGCCGCTACTACTCCTTTGAGTCGGTCTGCCCATCCCCCACAGTAGAATGTCCCATCACATGTATATATGATGTACCTATCACTATGGACATGAGCATGTGCATCGGACACAGCAGAGACTGGGTCGTCAATTGCATGTCGATTGCTCCCCTGGGGAAGGAGTACCTTGTTCAGCCCATAGTAAATGATCAGGCATATGATGGTCCAGGCTCCCAGGATGACAAGAAATGACTTGTACATTACATCAAGTCTGAAAATAGAAGAGACAGATAGAGAATCAGGGATTCAAATGTGTTTGCTCTGAAATTAGTTCACTCATGCAGATGTTTAGGTGTCCAGGTTGGAAATGTAGTGTATCAGTGTGAGTGAGTGAGTGAGTGAGTGAGTGAGTGAGTGAGTGAGTGAGTTTAGTTTTATGCCGCACTCAGCAATATTCCAGCTATATGGCAGCGGTCTGTAAATAATCGAGTCTGGACCAGACAATCCAGTGACCAACAACAAGAGCATCGATCTGCGCAATTGGGAACCAGTGACATGTGTCAACCAAGCCAGTGAGCCTGACCACCCGATCCTGTTAGTCGCCTCTTACGACAAGCATGGGTTACTGAAGGTTCATTCTAACCCGGACCTTCACGGGTCGTATCAATGAGAAGAGTAAGTGAGTGAATTTAGTTTTCATGCCGCTTTTTAGCAATATTCAAGCAATTCTGGGACACCAGAAATGGGTTTCACACATTGTACCCATGTGGGGTACTCCGGGTATTCAGCGTGACGAGCGAACGCTTTAACCACTAGGCTACCCCACTGCCCCTCAATGAGAAGAATACTTAAAGGTCACATGCAACCAAAAAATCAAACGTAATTAAAATACAATTATCACTTATTCATGACATATAATATATATTGCTGATTATGAAAAAACATATAAACAAAATTATAAGCGTACAATCGCAAATCAAAAGTGCAATATTTTGTACTTGGGTTTACTTCCCAAGAAACGAAGCAGCCGGGATACCGAACCCAGTCAGAGTGGGTGGGTGTGCCTGTCTGTGTAATTACATAATGTGACAGAGACTCGAACTCGGGCCATAAATCAATGTCTTTTGTTTATGGTGTATAGCCTGATAGGTGTTAAGTTCACTTTGCATGTGGTCAGTGATCGAAGTTGTGTATTGAATATTGTCATTAGCAGACAGGCAGGCAGACAAATAGGTGTCAATAAAACAGACATTGAGTTTTGTCTGTGACAACGACATATCTATATCACAGTTAGAAATTCTGTCAACTCTAAATAATGACATTGCTTTTAAGTATCGAACTGAGAAAGTGACTCGGTAAGAAGAACGAGTGGTGAAATAGACAAATGAAATTATATAAACAGTTAAATCGGTAATCTACTGTCATTACATATAAAAAGCTCGCGCCTGTGAAATATCAACAAAACATTAGAAAAATAGCTCACACCAAAGCCTTCACCGAGTATTCATCAGACAACCCGCTTCCAAGCTGTGCGAACCTATTTCACTGAGCATGTGCTATGAGCGCAGCCCAGCTGTTGAAACCACTGAATCGTTTGAACTCCGATTTCACACATTTTTGTTCATCGCGTTAATTTTCAACTTTATAAGTTGAATTTGCAGTTTTGATGATTTGTTTTGGTAAGTCCATACCGAAAGGTATCAGAATCTGCAAAGTTGTGTTTTACGTTGCATGTGACCTTTAATACCACTTAATATCTGATGAAAGTCATTCCAACAGAGCCAAATAGAAAGAGGATGTAATTCTGAAGTTTGTTTCCCTCCTTTCAATGAGCTTGATAAAAGTTATTCAGTTTCTGTGCATCCAGGCAATTTTTATGTATAAAATGTAATTGTGCATATGTAATAAAAGTGCACAATTCTATTGCACCCAAATCCATGCTTGGGAGCATGTTCTTGGTGCAGCATTTAAAACACATACAGACATTTGTAAGTAAACAGTGAGACTGATGTTAATTAAATATAGTACAGAGTGAAAAGGTGGGGCTTCGGCATGGTATTACGGTACCAGAGTTTCAGGTCAATGGGTAGAGTGTTCAACAAAACTGGAGCAGTGTACAAAAATGATCTGTGACCAGGGATTTAGATTGAGTCCTGTATTTGAGGGTCCCAGGGACTTATACGCTTAATTTTCAGGGGTCCTGGGCTGCAAAATGGGGATCCCAGACACTTAAATATTATTATTAATGCTATGTTGTAATATTGGTGTAATTCAGTTGTATTGTGTATCATGTTTATCACATTGTTACAGTAATTAAATTGCAAATGGTACCATAACCCGGTTAGTAGCAGACTCAGTGATAACTTATTGTTACTTGATCCAAATTTTTACAAAAAGCATTTGGACTTTTTGAGTCCCTGTGTAATGCACGCTAATAAATTTTGTTAGTCCTTTGTCAATTTTTATGCATTATAGGGACGAGGGAATTCATGTCCTGTAAATCCCTGCCAAAAGTATTTAGCTCGTAGTGTAGTTCTGTCAGGTACTTGGTGCGGTGAGCCGAAGTTCACGGACTTCAACACAGGAAGAGATTAGCTCTGATATGCATAGAGGAGTCAGATCATGAAGAGACTTGCATGTGAGACAGAGTGAGTGAGCTTCTATGCTGCTTTTAGCAATATTCAGGACACCAGAAATGGGCTTCACACATTGTACCCATGTGGGGTCACAAACTTGGGTCTTCGGTGATCGAGCTTTAACGCTTTAACCAATCCACAGTTGGCTACCCCATCACCTAAGGCACAGTATCTTGGATTCTGGCCCTCACAGGTAACCAGTAGTTGTTTGAGTACTGGGGTCATGTGGACTCTGTTGAGTGAGAGTACTGGGGAGGAGGAGTGACTCTGAGTGAGTGAGTGAGTGAGTGAGAGTGAGTGAGTGGTGAGTGAGGTGAGTGAGGAGTGAGTGAGTGAGTGAGTGGGTGATTATGGTTTTACACTGCTTTTAGCATTATATTCCAGCAATATCACAGGCACCAGAAATGGGCTTCAGACACTGTACTGTGGGGAATTGAACCAAGATCTTCGGCCTCACAAATGAACACTTTAACCACAAGGCTATCCCACTGCCCAGACTCTGTTTAGACGAGATACGGCTTATGACCATTATAATTATTTATAGCGATAGCCATTTTTAAAGTATTTTGCGAAGCATAGCTATCCAATATATGTCACTAAGAAATTTAATAAATATAGTCTTGCTTACAATACACTGATTACAAGCGAGTCCGGTAATTCCGCGCGTCCGGTAATTCTGCGCAGCTGCAATAGCGTACTTCCATATCGAAGGTAAACATCGTCTGCTACCACATTTACGCTTGAAATCGGGACATTTCTACAAGGGATTGGCTTTTAATCACTAAAGGCAAGTAAATAACAGTAATTGACAGATAAATTGACAGTTTTATGAAAATTCATTTCTTCAGACTTTTGAACTTTTTTCTTCATTATTCATAAGTGGATTTAATATGAAACACTCTTCCTTACATTGATGAAGTGATTTTTTAAAATGATCTGGCCCGAATACGCTTCCATACTTCGGATCTCCAGCTGGATGTTATGTGCATCAGTTGCTGTGCGATGGCGTTAGAACGCCGGTACGGTCAACCTTATGGCATAATGCAACGTTAGAATCTTATAGTTGTCAATAAAACTTATATTTCTAGGTAAATATGATGCATACCAGCATGTTTAGTCACGTAAACCACAAAAAATAACAGACATTAGGGACCGTTCATAATTTATGGCTAGGGGGGGTGATTTTTAAGGGCAGGTCACCCATTTTGTTCTGGGGAGGTAGGGGAGTCAGAAATTTTGTACACATGTTTCTGGGGGTGGGGGTCAGCAATTTTGTACATAAAAATATTTTAAAATTATGCTTAAAAAATATTGGAAGGGGAGGGGGTCATTGATTTTGTACATGACATGCAGGGGGGGGACTTACTTTGTACATAAATTTTAAGGGGGGTCATTCACATTGTACATGCTTCTCCATAAAAATCATCATCATCCCCCCTGGCCATAAATTATGAACAGTCCCTTAGTTGCCGTGTTGCGATCGATGTGCTTAGGTGCGTGGAATTACCGGATGGCATTGCATATTGGCTAAAAAAACTAGGTGACAATTATTTTTCTTGCAGTAAACTTAGGCTCAGTATTATTCGTTACACTGCTATACTGAGTCTAATAAAACCTTATAGATGGTCGCGTCAGCTAACCTTTTGGACTGACCAATCAGAACACAGCTTACCAAATCGCGACATTTAACATTCGCACATACCGTTTCAACCTTTACCTAAAAAACTTGAACGATTCCGAATGCTACTTTCCGCACGATCGCTTCCGAGTGATACACACAATGAGTAAACAGTTGCTGAAAATAGCATTTTTGTCAATATTCAAGGATGTCATCTTGCGAAAATATAAGCAAATAGTAACCATGTCATTAGAAACACATAAGAGTATATACTGCAGGTCAAATATATGTGTTTTATGCGGATTTTCGTATGTTGATAGATCAGTGTCAGCGACCAGGGAAGAGAAAAGCCGAAAATCCAAAAACCGTTTTGTAAGTCCCGCCGAACCCTAACAAGTAGTAGTTGTCTGATTGGTTAAATCCGTTCGGCCGTCTCGCGTTTGATTGGATGGTCATAGGCTGCTCAAGGTTAGCTGACGCGACCTTCTACTAGGTTTTGTTAGACTCAGTATAGCAGTGTAACGAATAATACTGAGCCTAAGTTTACTTAGACTGATTTTTCTTGCAACTGCATATTGTGTACATTTATTTAATTGTTTTACTGATAAGTCTGGGCTCACAGTCACTCGTGGGGCATACCAAAGACGTATGATACGTCTTTGGGCATACAAGGCATTTTGAAAAATGGTGTGTGCGTGTGTGCGTGTGTGTGCGTGTGTGTGCGTCACTCAGATACCATTTAATCTATTACATGGTCTCTGGCGTCACACATCGTATCATACCATGGGCTCAAGGCAAAATTGCCAAACGTCACACCATTGCTGAACAACCTTACATACTTACTGGAGGTACACTGTCCTACATCTTATCTTGAAAAGGCAGATAAACGCCTTTGGTTTCCTTGATTTTAATGACAAGAGAAAGACATGGCAAGGTACTGCGATGGAGTTCAAAAGTTACAGAGAGGAACACTGTACGGAGCTTATATAAAATCGGGAGCCTCGTTAACATTTTTGGATCGGGTCCGGTTACATTGTGTCCGGAAGGGAGCGCTTAGTTCGCATAGTTGGTATAGTACCTTATCTGTCAATATTTCGAAACAGATTCTGTCAAAAATAAGAAATTCATCTTATAAAGGTACATTTAATTAGGAAATATGTGTTTGGTAACTCATCAATTCTTCTTTTCTCGCTGTCAAGTATTTAGTTTTTCACATTTCGAGAAGCAAAAAATGATATCTCTAATCAGTATGGCGGTATGAGTTGAGTTTTGAGAGCGCAGCTTTCAACGGAGGGCTATTTTCTTTTCTCATTGACGCATTATCGCTTTTGAGAGTGAGTTAAACCTTTCCCCTTCTTTGTATCGGTTACTACCGAAATTTTCTCCAGTTACAACCAACTTTATTTCTTTAATGAACGAACGTTTTGCCGCGATTGCAGTTTACCGGGTTACAATTTTCCATCTCGCTCTTTAGCGTCTGCCGTCTGCTTTAACCCTTTAACACAACGGCCCCTCAGGATCGAAGAGGCATGTATCACAGGCAGATCAGTGATATTTAAAGCAAGTACCACACTTTCGAAGGTATCTCATACAATAGTATGACAGTTCCGATGAAGAAAGAGTGAGGTAGATTACTTCCTATGAGTCAAGGTTCCCTTTATGATCATTTGAGATTGGTTCCCTTTTCCAATCTAACACCCCTTCACGTTACCTAGATTTGGACGCCTCTTACCAATCAAAAACCATTTATGTATCAGATCTGTGTGTCAATAGTATATATATGTATACAACCAGATAATATCTATGCAGTTTTTCGCTGTTGAATACATGTTGACTAAGGTACAACTGGTACCTTACTTATCTCTTTTTCTTGTGTTTCAGAAAATGTCAGTGTCAAATCTGTTCTCTTTCAAGGATGAAAAACCAGTGCCTGATCCAGTGCATGAGTACCCAGATTCACTAAGAGATGGGAAAGTGCCTCTTGTCATAGATAATGGTATAAATACTTCCAGTGTTGAAAGACTAAGGAATTGGAAATGAACTGTTGAAATACTGTTCAAAATGTTATTAAACTAAACATAAGTTCTGACCAACATGAAGGTCGGGCTGAATGTGTGTAAACCATTGGTTTGATCTGGCTTAATGTATGACATGCTATTAACCACTGGTTGGACTGGCCCAATCTTTATGTTAATCTTCATGATACCTTACACTTGTAAAATATATGTCAGAGTTACAAAACAAATTGTTGACTAGCTGACTCGAGATGTTATGTGCACATTATGTATATAATTCCTGTGTCAGGCAGGGTCATTATAACACAGGAAAGTGTTTGAGGAAAGGCACAAAAACTCCATATATGCCAAAAGTTGCAGTCATGTATTTTCAATGATAATAAAGTTCTTTCACTGTTTCAGGAACTTATCAGTGTCGAGCTGGCTGGGCCTCTGCAGAGAAGCCCCTTCTGACATTTAAAAATATTACTGCTAAACAGCGAGGAAAGAAGGTGCGTTTGTTTCTCTTAATATCATTAAAAATATTTTTCTATGTTTGCATTTTCTTGTGGAGTAAATGCAATTGTTTTTCTTCATCGAATCCATTTTCTGACATGATTAGCTTTGGTGTACTCTCAAGCCCATTTGAGGGTCTGGCATCACTGAACAACTTTCTTTGTGTACTGTTGTACCCAGTCATTACCCGGCTGCCTTAGTTTAGGTTTCATTATAACATGGTTTATTATCAAAAGAGTTTATTGTTCTGACTTTGACTTTATAACATGGTTTATGCTTATAGCATTGTGAAACTGTAACAGATATCAGTGGCATGTGTCAAATATCACAGAGAAGGTCTTCTTTGAGGTCATTGTATAAAACATATAGGTGGGAAGCCCAAACAAGCAAGAATCATAATTTGTCAGAAACAGAGACTTGCAGGCTTGGCCATAGGCTCTTGACATGAATGTGGAATGTTCTTCTTAAAATCAACCACTATTTTGCGTGGTCCTGATACAATTATTTACTGGCCGTCATGAACTTCCTGGTAGCCGGAAATACTGCTGGGTACAGTATTAAGCAACAGATGCACAAAGAAGCATGTTCTCATATCTATTAGCTGAGTGCAGTGTTAAACAACAAATAAACAAACAGGAATGTCATCGTATCCATTGACATGAGATGTGGCTCGTAATATAGATCACTGTTTTTCGTGTCTGAAATACTGCTGAGAGCATTGAGAGCAATGTTAAACAACAAACAAATATGATGACTAATTCCACATCCAAAATGTTTTCTTTCCATAGGAGTCTGACTTACAGATTGGAAATGACATCAGCAACATTGAGGTTGTCCGCTGGATTCTACGGACACAGTTTGACAGAAATGTGGTCACACTCTATGATGTTCAGGTAGTTTCTTGCATGTGTTGTTAATGATCTGCTGATAGACATGCTTTTAAAATTACAGAAGTTTTCATCTATCAGTCTTTTTCATGGGCGGTTCAGGGTTTTTTCATGCTTTAGTGTGCTGAAAATGACCCTCCCCAAATGCTTATCATATTACAGTGAAACCTGCCATCACCGGCACCTGTATAATCTGGCACACTGTCAAAACCGGCATAAAATTTTGGTTCCGCCATTTTACAACGATATTATGATGCATTAAAGCATTGTCTAATCTGGTACCTATCTATTCCATATTCCGACACGACTTTCCGAGTCTTGTGTTTTGTGCGTTACCTGACAAGACTCTGGCTAACTATTATTATTTGAACAATGTTTAGTGCTGAATAAAGAATAATTATCTGTCATCAACATTGTTTTAATTTGTTGCACAATTACAAAAAATCAAAGGCATTATAGAGATAAAGAGATTGATGAGTGTAAATGGCAGCCATGTTGGAAAATAATCGTCACTGTCTAATCCGGTACCCTGTCTAAACCAGCATTTTATTTCTGTCCCGTGGGGTGCCGGTTTAGACAGGTTTCACTGTATTAGATGACCCTCTCCATATGCTCAAACATTTTTTCCATGACCCTCCCTGAAAAAACTAAAATGCAAAAGCACTTTAATTTGTATAATATGCCCAATTTGTTTTCTTGATCTTCAACTAACATCTGTGTTATATTTTATTACCTGGTCAGTAGTAAATGACTGATCCTTTAACAATTATTTTGAATGTCTAAATGTATTCAGTCATGTGATTTGACAACACTTGAGAATATGATGCAAGTAAGCACCTGCTATCAAGAATTTGCTTATAACAAGGAGTGAGTGATCTGCAGCTACAAGAATGTAGTGCAGAGTTGTGTCCCTTAGTGAGTTCAAGGATAGGCATGTTGTAAGGGTGTCAACCGGTTATTAAATCAATGTTTTTGAGTCGCATTTAGAAGTAATACACATAAAGGTGGGAATTATGGATGTCAAGTTTTGAAACATGTTGAACACAATGTTTTTATGTGTATTCGTACTCCTTAAACAGGTGATGAATAACAGCACCAGTAAAGGTCCGGGTTAGAATATTGATCTTCAGTAACCCATGCTTGTCGTAAGAGGCTCGCTGACTTGGTTGACACATGTCAGCGGTTCCCAATTTGTGCAGATCGATGCTCATGCTGTTGATCACTGGATTGTCTGGTCCAGACTCGATTATTTACAGGCCGCCGCCATATAGCTGGAATATTGCTGAGTGCGGCGTAAGACTAATCTCACTCACTCACTCACTATGAATAACAGCAAGTTTGCCATGACTGCGATATCTGAGACAGAATGTGTGTGTTGTAGGAGCAGATATTTGACTATATCTTCACACATCTGGGCATCAACACAGAGGGCAAAGTGGATCACCCTATTAGTCCTCACCGAGCCTGTGTGTAACCCCAACTATTGCAGACAGCGTGAGTACACTGCCCATAGCAATCAGCGACATACAAAGCTATCTTAGCACTACCACTTGCATCCTCGATAATCTCCAGGGTATACGTTCCGATAAATCTCCACTAGTACCCAGGGCCTCCTTTCACAAAGCACTAAGGTGATCGTAAGTCACTAAGGTAACCTTAGTGCAATGTTAAAGAATGGGAGTTAAGGTTAACCTTAGTAAAGGTTGCTTCGTGAAAGGAGCCCCTGGATGCATCTACGGCTCGCCCTGATAATTGTATTACCTCCTTTTGCTGGCTTTTCATCCAATCAGGTGTCTATGCTTGGAAGTTGAGCATACCAATCACAAGGCTTCTATCATAACTCACTTTCGCTCCTTTTATCTAACCGATTAAACTTGGCAACACATTTGTTGCAGAGGTACTCTGACAGAGGTAGAAGGAGTTCTTGCATACATTTTTTTAAGGTTTCAGACCTGTCAATCTGAGTCTCACAGTGAGCAAACCTTCACAGCAGCAGCCGCTGTCTTTGTTGACACTGGCAAGCTCGGTTGTAACGGCCTAATCTGATTGGCTTCTGTGAGAAGGCAGACACAGCAAAGGGAGATAATAAAATTATCAGGCCGAGCTGTAGATGCAGGGTACTAGTGGAGATTTATCGGAATGTATACCCTGGAGATTATCGAGGATGTACAACTTGTTAGTGTATGTCAAAATGGGAGTTACAGCATCTTAGTGCTAAAATCACTTTGTGGAATGTACCAGGGTCTCCAGCTCCATGAATGTGGCTATGGCCACTTTTTCATATTTCATGCTTTTTGAATTGTTTTGCTTATGTATTGGCTTAGCAGGTTGAAACAGACAAACACGTAGCCACAATAGAAATAGATATTAGACAGGGCATTTACTACAGAGAGAGGGAGGGTGAAACTGTAGTAACTAATTTAGGATTGCCTTATGGGTATTATTGTTAACTAAATGCATGATCATTATCCGTATAATTTCCAATCCATGTTTTCAGTGTCACTGGAGACTTGTGATTCAGATGTAGATACCCGATTCTCAGCAGTTGTTGGTGTGCAATGTTTGTGTCTGCTGATGATGGTTGATTAGAATAATACAACATGACTGATGATGACTGTGTTTTTTCTTTATCAGAGATGTCGGAGCTGATGTTCGAGTGCTATCATGTTCCCCAAGTCGCATATGGCATCGACTCGCTCTTCAGCCTCTACAACAACAAGCCTAAGACAGGTAGTGAAAGCAGTAGTAGTAGTACTAAGGGGATGTCAGCTATTTTGTACATGACATGAAGGGGAGGCACTTACTTTGTACATAAATTTTAAGTGGGGGTCATTCACACTGTACATGCTTCTCCATAAAAATCAACACACACACACACACACACACACACACAGAGCCATATATTATGAATAGTCCCTAATGATGTTTTGTTATTATTTAATATTTTATTAATATGTATCTGGTAAAGAAGTTTATTCTTGCACCCAGATCAAAACAATTCACTCTATTCCCATTGCTTAAAGTTTTTATAACTTAGAATTTTTTAATACCTGTCTCGGAAAATGTTTAAAACATTGAAAACAGAATAGCATACTTCCTTAAAGTTTTGACTTTGTCACGAGTGTTTATATGTTTGTTGTTATTTCAGAATCAATGAACTCTCTAATCGTGGACTGTGGCTACCAGGCAACACACATTCTGCCAGTGCTGAATGGCCGCTTCAACTCGGTCAATGCTCGGCGAATGAACTTAGGTGGCGTGCATGTGGATTCCTTTCTAATGAGGCTTCTACAGCTGAAGTACCCTGGACACCTGGCAGCTATCACTCTGAGCCGGGCTGAGGTAGGCCTTGTACATATCGTTGATTAGTAATAGTATAGTTCGACTGATGGACACCTGGTGGCTGTCACTCTGAGCCGGGCTGAGGTAGGCCTTGTACATATCGTTGATTAGTAATAGTATAGTTCGACTGATGGACACCTGGTGGCTGTCACTCTGAGCCGGGCTGAGGTAGGCCTTGTACATATTGTTGATTAGTAATAGTATAGTTCGGCTGATGGACACCTGGTGGCTGTCATTAGTCTGAGGCCGGGCTGATTAGTAATAGTATAGTTCGAATTGATGGACACCTGGTGGCTGTCACCTGAGCCGGGCTGAGGTAGGCCATGATTAGTAATAGTATAGTTCGAACTGATGGACCGCTGTCACCTGATTAGTAATAGTATAGTTTCGATGGACACCTGGTGGCTAATCACCTGATGGACACCTGGTGGCTGTCACTCTGAGCACGGGCTGAGGTAGGCCTTGTACATATCGTTGATTAGTAATAGTATAGTTCGAACTGATGGACACCTGGTGGCTGTCACTCTGAGCCGGGCTGAGGTAGGCCTTGTACATATTGTTGATTAGTAATAGTATAGTTCGACTGATGGACACCTGGTGGCTGTCACTCTGAGCCGGGCTGAGGTAGGCCTTGTACATATTGTTGATTAGTAATAGTATAGTTCGACTGATGGACACCTGGTGGCTGTCACTCTGAGCCGGGCTGAGGTAGGCCTTGTACATATCGTTGATTAGTAATAGTATAGTTCGACTGATGGACACCTGGTGGCTGTCACTCTGAGCCGGGCTGAGGTAGGCCTTGTACATATAGTAGATTAGTAATAGTATAGTTCGACTGATGGACACCTGGTGGCTGTCACTCTGAGCCGGGCTGAGGTAGGCCTTGTACATATTGTTGATTAGTAATAGTATAGTTCGACTGATGGACACCTGGTGGCTGTCACTCTGAGCCTGGCTGAGGTAGGCCTTGTATATATAGTAGATTAGTAATAGTATAGTTTAGTACTGATGGACACCTGGTGGCTGTCACCTGAGCCGGGCTGAGGTAGGCCTTGTACATATCGTTGATTAGTAATAGTATAGTTCGACTGATGGACACCTGGTGGCTGTCACTCTGAGCCGGGCTGAGGTAGGCCTTGTACATATCGTTGATTAGTAATAGTATAGTTCGACTGATGGACACCTGGTGGCTGTCACCTGAGCCGGGCTGAGGTAGGCCTTGTACATATTGTACATAATAGTATCGTAGATTAGTAATAGTATAGTTCGACTGATGGACACCTGGTGGCTGTCACCTGAGCCGGGCTGAGGTAGGCCTTGTACATATCAGTATTAGTAATAGTTGATTAGGTGGCTGTCATAGCATAGTTCGCTGCCGATGGACACCTGGTGGCTGTCACTCTGAGCACCTGGCTGAGGCAGAGGTAGGCCTTGTGATATATAGTAGATTAGTAATAGTATAGTTCGACTGATGGACACCTGGTGGCTGTCACTCTGAGCCGGGCTGAGGTAGGCCTTGTACATATCGTTGATTAGTAATAGTATAGTTCGACTGATGGACACCTGGTGGCTGTCACTCTGAGCCGGGCTATTAGAGCTGAAGTATTAATGGAGCTAAATTATAGATAGAGTTTGTGCAATATTACAGCTGAAGTATTATTGGAGCTAAATTATAGATAAAGCTGAAGTAAACATGAAACTGAGATGAAGTAAACAGAGCTACTATAGGGATAGTGCTGAAGTATAGATGGAGATGAAGTAGAAACAGCTGAAGTATGAACAGAGCTGAAGTATAAACAGAGCTACTGTAGTGACAGTCCTAAAGTATAGATGGAGATGAAGTAGAAACAGAGCTGAAGTATAAACAGAGCTACTGTAGAGACAGTCCTAAAGTATAGATGGAGATGAAGTAGAAACAGAGCTGAAGTATAAACAGAGCTACTGTAGTGATAGTGCTGAAGTATAGATGGAGATGAAGTAGAAACAGAGATGAAGTATAAACAGAGCTACTGTAGTGACAGTCCTAAAGTATAGATGGAGATGAAGTAGAAACAGAGATGAAGTATAAACAGAGCTACTGTACAGACAGTGCTAAAGTATAGACGGAGATGAAGTAGAAACAGAGCTGAAGTAGAAACAGAGCAGAGCACTACTGTAGGGATAGTGCTGAAGTATAGATGGAGATGGAGATGAAGTAGAAACAGAGCTGAAGTATAAACAGAGCTACTGCTGAAGATAGTGCTAAGATGAAGTATAAGATGGAGATGAAGCAGAAACAGAGATGAAGTATAAACAGAGCTACTGTAGTGATAGTGCTAAAGTATAAATGGAGATGAAGTAGAAACAGAGATGAAGTATAAACAGAGCTACTGTAGTGATAGTGCTAAAGTATAGATGGAGATGAAGTAGAGAAGAGCCACAGAGATGAAGTAGAAACAAAGCTACTGTAGAGACAGTGCTGAAGTATAGATGGAGATGAAGTAGAAACAGAGCTGAAGTATAAACAGAGCTACTGTAGGGATAGTGCTGAAGTATAGATGGAGATGAAGTAGAAACAGAGATGAAGTAGAAACAGCAGATGGAGATTCTGTAGAGACAGTGCTAAAGTATAGATGGAGATGAATGAAGCAGAAACAGAGATGAAGTATAAACAGAGCTACTGTAGTGATAGTGCTGAAGTATAGATGGAGATGAAGTAGAAACAGAACTGAAGTATAAACAGAGCTACTGTAGAGACAGTGCTAAAGTATAGATGGAGATGAAGTAGAAACAGAGCTGAAGTATAAAAAGAGCTACTGTAGTGATAGTGCTGAAGTATAGATGGAGATGAAGTAGAAACAGAGCTGAAGTATAAACAGAGCTACTGTAGAGACAGTGCTGAAGTATAGATGGAGATGAAGTAGAAACAGAGCTGAAGTGTAGATAGAGACATAGGTAAGAGCTGAAGTATAAACAGATGTAGATATAATCTGTACTTGAATCAATCTATTCCAGGAGCTTGTGCGGGATCATGCCTACATGGCCGCAGACTACACCGACAATCTGCAGCAGTGGCTAGATGGTGACTACTTTGAAAACAACGTACACAAGATACAGCTGCCTTACACGAATGTGAGTATCAGCAGTTGTTTGTGTTGGGAAGGAAATAATCACTGTATAGTGAGTGGAGTTGGTTATGTTAACATGGGGGTTGGATTTCAGCCAGGCCACCTGGATCTCAACTGTTTATTACTTGTCAATGTATATATCCTGGTCGATGTTATTTCACTGGATGATGAATGGGGGTCAGCAAGGCAGCTGATGTCATTGAACTTGTGCCTGTATTTGTGTGATGTCATGGTACTCTATGATGTGTGATGTCATAGCACTGTATGATGTGTGATGTCATAGCACTGTATGGTGTGTGATGTCATAGTGCTGTATGATGTCATAGCACTGTATGATGTGTGATGCCATAGCACTGTATGGTGTGTGATGTCATATTGCTGTATGATGTCATAGCACTGTATGATGTCATAGCACTGTCATAGCACTGTATGATGTGTGATGTCATAGTGCTGTATGATGTGTGATGTCATAGTGCTGTATGATGTCATAGCACTGTATGTGATGTCATAGCACTGTGCTGTATGATGTCATAGCACTGTATGGTGTGTGATGTTATAGCGCTATGATGTCATAGCACTGTATGTGTGATGTCATGTGCTGTATAAGTGTGTTATGTCATAGCACTGTATGATGTGTGATGTCATAGTGCTGTATGATGTATGATAGCTGTATGATGTCATAGCACTGTCTGATGTGTGTGATGTCATTACACTGTATGATGTCATAGCACTGTATGATGTCATAGCATGTCATATGAAGTGTGATGTATGACATGTGTATGACGTCACACTGTATGAGTTTTCTGATAAATTACGAGTGTGATTAGGTGCAAATGGACTTGTTTTTGACCAGTTGGTAAAAAATAGTAGACTAATATATAGAAAATATGACTTTCTCTTATCATAACTGAACATTTTACCCATATAAGTTTCAAATATTTAAAAAAGTTCAATTTAAAACAAAATGATTTTATAAGTTGGTGAGTAATTTCCTTGTGTGATGTTAGTTTGAATTTGATACAGTAATTCATTATCATTAATAAGTTGCAACTCGCTGAGTTGAATACTGAGCCACCCATTGCTATTTGCTTTAAAACTCTGTTAACAATTTTCTTTTGAAACATACTTACCTCAGTAAAAGTTAGGAAAATATTCTCAAAGCAAACCACGAAACATTTTTACATTCTGTATTTTCATTTTACCCACCTGTCATGGGAGCTTGGAAACGAGCACTTTGACAGAAAAAGGTCTTACCTCATTCTTATAGAGAAACACAACATTTCAGTGTGCCAGTGTTCAGCGTTGCCAGGTAATATCTGTGTACTGGCTGGCCACTAATGTTTGTGGCACTACTAGGGGCTTTGTCTTTGCTTCAGTGGTAATCACTCTCGGTCAGTCATACTTGTTCAGGGATCGTGTCAAACAGTTTGATTTGATCTTTGTTTCATTTGAGTAAAATGAGATTTGATGAGTTGGGGCGTACTGCTCTATTATATAGATATGAGATTTGCTTTTTGTAATAAAGACTAGCATTGTGATGCAGTCAGTTTTGTTTTTGAGATTTGGTTACAAAAGATTTTTGAGATGATCCCCAGCTTGTTTCCTTTTGTTGGTATTAGGGATTACATAATGAGAAATTGTGTCCTTTGTGTCAAAGCTGTGAATACCACATAATATGGGTCATTGTGGTCAATCAGAACTAGAAATGTTATTGTTTATGTGATAAAAGAAAATCTGATTTATACATGTCTTAGTGATGTTTATCAGTTGAAACCTCCTTATGCATTTCCTGCTTGTTTGTTAGTCATGTTCATGGGTTTACTGGTTTACTGGTTTCTCTGTAAACGAACAGGTTTCAGTAAGTAAATGTACAAACATTGCTAATTTGGATTGTTACATGATTATACAGTGAAACAGTAGCAGATACGCAGCACAGCAATGGTGTACAGTCTTAGAATCATTTACAGAAGAATTTATCTGAAAAAAGTATAGTTTTATTGTTTTTTACCTGTACTCAAAAGAGTAGCAATGCTGTGGTGCATATATGAAGCGAAACACAAGATCACATACTCCATTAAATTCCATTCAGTACTCCAAATGTACTCTTAAGTTTTTCCAGTACTCCTATATTTAAAAAATAAGGAGTACGTACTCCTCATGTTAAAAAATTATCTGGAGCCCTGCTTATGTTATAAAAGTAACTGTCTATAACGGATATGCGGTCTCTGTAACGTACATTTTACAAACGAACTGGCTAAGTCAACACAAAATTGACTCACTTATCCGCACGAAGCTTTGATCTTCCACGTGTCTTGACACGAGACAAGGTCTGCTAATCCGGATTAATGACCGATCAGCAGGGTATTGGTGGTGATTAGTATTCCTATCTGACACTGAGTGAATTGTAATTGGCAAATCAAAACAACCACGCTGTTTTGGAAGTGATTTTAAACCAGAAGTATATATTCGCTACTGTTTCAACACCTAAGCCTGAATGACAGAAATCCAGATATCCGGATATTTAGTTATCCAGATGATGTACGCAAAAACGAATGTGTCCGGGTATGCGGGGTCTCACTGTATTTCATAATAAGAAAATTGAAAGTGATTCCATGGCTTTTGATTGGCTAACAAAAGGATTCTTTTTCCACTTTAAGTTCGTGGTAGGGGTAGCTTAGTGGTTAAACTCTGAGCCCATCACACAGAAGCCATGGGCTCAATCACCCACATTGGTACAATATGTGAAGCACATTTCTGGTGTCCCCAGATGTGATAGAGCTGGAATATTGTAAAAAAAATGGTACAAAACCATACTCACTCACTCACTCCTCTGAACACCCCTTAAAATAGTCCACTTTATCAGCAGGCAACTATATCCTAATTTCCTATATTATCATACTTAATAAGTCGACTAACCCACACAAATATTTTTAAAATATATGTGGTATAAAGTTAACCCAAAATTATTTTTATCTCTATTCAAACCTACTCCTGTCAGTTGGTAAGCGAAAAGTAGTAAATCGTAACAAAAATGCAGTGTCCAAAAAATAGATAATTATTGGAGGGTACAAAGACTAAGCAGCTGGGTGATTCTTGTCCAGGGCCTGACAGCAATAGGTGTTGTCAACATTGTTTATTTCATTACCATTCTTTCTTATCACTTCCAGCGGTGTTGGGGTAGCCTAGTGGTTAAAGCGTTCGCTCATCACGCCGAAGACCCGGGTTCGATTCCCCACATGGGTACAATGTGTGAAGCCCATTTCTGGTGTCCCCCGCCGTGATATAGCTGGAATATTGTTAAAAGCGGCGTAAAACTGAACTCACTCACTCTTATCACTTCCACCTCTTATAACAGAGTTATGTCCCCTTGTGTGTAATCTTCAGTTCAGTTGTTGACCCCTCTTGTACTTATTATTATCTCCCCTGATGTGTGATCTCCAATGAGAATTATGTACTCTACTTGCTCTCACAACAGAGCTGTCTCCCTTTGTGTTGACATCCATGGGGGAGTTGTAAACAACTTGCACTTTTAACTAATTAGCTCCCCTTGTGTGTGACCTCCAGGTGAGCGGCGGAAGTCAGTTGACCCCGGATCAACAGCGAGAGAGACGGGAGCAGCAGATACGACGTCTGAAGGAAGTGAACTCTAAACGTCGCCTGGAGAAGGTGAGTCTTAGGTGACTGCTGCTCTTGTATGCTTGACAACTGAAATAGTCACATCCAGTTGCCAAGGATACAGGGAAAATGCAAACCGAGCAATCACCACCGCAACTTGTCAGTAAATACCTACACGTCTTCCTGTGTCAGTCCCCAGTCTCATTAAAACATTTTACTCAAATACCTCTCTCCATCAAGATCTCACAAAGGTCATATCAGATGAAGCATATTTTGACTGCTGAATCCAAATTCACTACCATGACCAACGTAACTACTTTAACTTACCCGAGGTTCAACACAAAAGTAAGAAGTTGATTAAAGAAGGAATATGTAGGGACCAAGCTTTTCCATGGAGACAACAGTTTGCCTCAGCAGTGTTTGACTATTAAGCCACATTAACTTGGTGCGCCTAGTGGCTGCACGAGTTGTATGCTCCCCAGGGAGTTGAAATTGAAAATATGATGTGCCGTTGAGATCGACATCCAATGATCGAGGGAAAAAGCAAAAACACTTTGAGCATGCACATGGGATGGACTATATAAAAAATAATATCCATATAATAATAATAATAAATCACACCCGACTATTGAGGGATGGAGATGATGAAAAACAAAAGTATGGTGGCAAATGGTACCGGGGTATATTTCATAACAGAACATCAAGATGATACTATGAGGATCAAAACTGTATTCACGTTTGTGAGAGTTGATCATACTGTCCCCCTCCCCGCCTCAAACTCTCTGTTTAAGTAGGGTTAACCAGGCTGTTACTTTCTCCTCCCCAGCTGGAGACGGAGGAAGAGAGACTGCGTCAGCTGATGAGTGTCCAGGAACTGCTGGTTGATGGAGATGAGGACACGTTTACGGTCAGTGGGGCAGTATGTCCACCTGCTGTTTTAAATTAGGACTGTCATGACATGATTTATCAGAAAACTTTTGAAGTAATAAATTAAAATTTTACTATGAATTCAGTGCAATAGAACTTTTGCTAAGAGACAATATTTACATTATCCAGGAACTGTGAAACAAAAATATTGCATTACATCATTATAACTACACAAGGCTTGAAAACTATAGAAATCGTATCACAATTGGGCAGTTTGATGCTCAGTTTCATTGTGTACAATATTTGTATCACATATACAAATTCTGATGCTCTCTTGAATTATTGCAGACTTAATGCCTTTATTCTCTGTACAGAAAGCACTGTACAACGTTGGCTTCAAGACTGCTGAAGAGCTACAGGACACTGTCAACAAACTGACCGTCAGTATACAGAGAGCCAAAGCTAAAATACTGGGCGTCGAACTCCCTCCTGAAGAGCCTCAAGAGGTTTGTAATCAGGTCACCTGCTGCTTGTTGTCATGGTTGTTGCTATGTTAAAGTGAGTGAGTTTGGTTTTACGCCGCTTTTAGCAATATTCCAGCAATATCACGGCAGGGAACACCAGAAATGGGCTTCACACATTGTACCCATGTGGGGAATCGAACCCGGATCTTCAGTGTGACAAGCAAACGCTTTAACCACTAGGCTACCCCACCGACCCTGCTATGTTAGAATTGGTCCCCATCAAACATGTGTGGTGGTTACTTATTGGCTCGAGTGGTTAAACTTGGTGATTTTGTATGATTATGTCAAGTATGACCGTATTAATTACACGCTTCCTTCATTTAGCTGAAATACTGCTGGTGAGGTGTTCAACACCCAGAAACCCATGGTTGTTGACTAAGTCACCAGTACTCTTTGTTTGTTGTAGATATCTGAAATCTGTCATGCTAAGTCCTTGAATTTAGATTTTGTTTTCTAAAGGCTGCGAAAGTGGAAAATATGCATTGAAGGCCTTATGTTTCGAAGCATTCCCCATTACAAGCTTCAGTTAAACCAATCTGGACCAAAAAGGGCCCTCCCATTATTTACTGCTCTCGATGCTGGTGCAGAACCCATTCGACATAAGAGTAGCATAATGACAACCCCAAATATAACTTGCAACAACTATTTAGCAAGGACACATCATTTGAATTATTTAGGGTATGCATGAATGTTCAGCTTTTCAAATATATAATACTTTAAATAGTTTATGTACCTAAAATGGAAAAGTTAAAAAAGTATGAATCCAGCAGGTTAGACTGACTGAGTTTAGTTTTACGCCGCTTTTAGCAATATTCCAGCAATATCACGGCGGGGGACACCAGAAATGGGCTTAACACATTGTGCCCATGTGGGGAATCGAACCCGGGTCTTCGGTGTGACGAGCGAACGCCTTAACCACTAGGCTACCCCACCGCCCCCCCAGCAGGTTAGAGGTTAACAGAAACTGTGTTATAGAATGAACCCAAAGGCAGGTTTGTCAAACTGTGTGAGGAAGGTGATGACACAGAAGTCTTTGGCAGGTCAAGGAGCCGGTGTTTGACCTGTTGGACATCCCGGATGAGATGCTCGGCCCAGAACAACAGGCTGCCAAGAAGCGACAACGGATCCTTAAGAGTGCACGGGAGGGACGTCTCAAAGCTCAGGCACTGCAGAGAGCCAAACGCCAGAAGGTAAGTCTTACGCCTTGATTCAAAGAGTGAGCTGTGCAAGTTGATGCTTGCTCACCTGAGAAGAGAATGAGCTTTTATGCTGCTTTTATCACCATTCCAAGAATATGAGACTATAATTGATAGTTGCCAACCAGTGAGGTTTTATGCTGCCTTCAGCGTCATTCCAGGAATATCATTGTTGAGGTGACAAGGTATTTGCTTCATAACTTGTTCCCCTAAAGTGACTCAAACCTGGATCTTGGGCATGAAAACAAACACTATATGGCTATCCTAGCATGTCCTGTCTGCCATATTGGATCTTTGGGGAAGATGTGGAATTTGAGTCAGAACTGGTATCCAGGAGCTGATGCTGCTGTAACACATGACATTAATGAGGATTTGGTGGTCACAATGTCTGACCTGGTGGTGTCCGTGTAACGCATTGCTTTGTGTGTACAAATAGCTTACATGGAATATTTACCATGTTTTTAGAAAGAGATTAATACTAAGGTACTAAAATTAAGGTGAGGTGAGGTGAAATTGGGTTTATCGTCGTGCTTGAGAATATTTCGCTCATAGGAAGACGTGCATGCGTGTGGATGTGTATGTGCGGCTGCTTGTACTAGCCCAGACTGAAGCTGGTTTTATAGTGCTAGCCCACTGAGATACCATGCAGCAGTGAAGCCATGAATACCCCACTCAGACACATTATACTGACTCCGAGCCGACCAGTCCTTGTTTTACCCATTAATGCCAAGCGCCAGGCAGGGACCAACAAGCTAAAATTAAGAACAAAGGAGTTGTGTAGTGTAGTTTTTTTAATGATGATATATGAACTTTGCAGGAGATGGAAGAAGAGCGTCGTCTGGAAGTAAAGCGTCAGAATGACTTTCAGGGATGGTTGTCAGAAGTCAGGAAAAAGAGACAGGTAATGTCATCATAAAATATCTTGGAATTTAATTTGGTCTTGGAGGTGCAAGATTTAATACAGTAAAATCCTACTCTGTGTCAATGACTGAGAGTCACCAGCTCATCTCCAGTGATTATTGGCCTGATGGTTGAATAATACTCACCTCTGGGTAAAACCATCATCAAGATTGGTTTTACACTGGTTTTACAGTATTTCCGATATTTCACGTTGTATAGCGTATTGCTGACAAACGGAGAAATATAAGCAAATCTTGGATATGAACTCATGAGTATATGTTTCTGGCCCTCCAAAGGGAGACTACTCAGCACAGTGGAATGTGGTGCCAGATGACCCGTCCATTCATGGGCTGATTACTTAGATGTCGCACTTTGTCGCAATATTCTTCTCACCTTGACATGTCATGCAAGAAGATAATTTCCATATGAAATAGTATTTTATTCATTAATTGATTTTATTACATACATGCTTCAGCAATAAGTATCAGTAAGTGAAAGGAATCTGTTAAATCATCCCAGCAGAGTTACAATCTGTTTATCATGTTTATGACCAAAATGTCCAGTCACAATCTGTGTTTCAAAGGTAAGTATTCTGCAGAGTGTCCCACACACGTATAGGGCTTTATTTATGCATCATTGATGCCCTCATATTTATGAACCCTCCTGTTTTGATGAATGAAAATGAATAATTCCCCCCCACCCCCCATCAAAATTTGAGGACCTGTGCCTTTTGTTGCTATCCCAGTTTTATTTTTGATAATAATGTACTGTGTACAGAGTTTGTGAAAGTCCTATCTTCAAGTTACCTTACGTGAAAGTCTTTGAATGGCATTTAGAAGTAATACATATAAGGGAGATGATTTATGGTTGTCAGCTTCTGAAGTGTGAAGAATGCAACAGAATATGCAGAACATGACCTTTTGGAGTATATTCTCACTCCATCACCAGATCAAGGAGTCAAGATATGTTCATCATATTACAGAACTTGACATCCCTAGTGTTCTCCTCTATCATGTGTTGTACTACTGTTGTAGAAAATTCTAGAAGCGAGGACATCCCGAAGACAAAGGAAGACAGACATGGCCAAGCGAGGGACGTACGCATCCCAGCAGCGAATGAAGATAATCTCCCAGCTCGCACAGAGTCAGTATTAGAACAAGAAGGGTTGTATTTCTCAGACACAAGGGGCTGTGGGTAGCCTTGTGGTTAAAGCGTTCACTCGTCACGCTGATGACTCGGGTTCGATTCCCAACATGGGTACAATGTGTGAAGCCAAATTCTGGTGTCCCCCGCCGTGATATTGCTGGAATATTGCTAAAAGCGGTGTAAAACCCAACTTATTCACTCACTCATTCACTGTCAGACACAAAACATATCATGTTTTTCAAAATGGGAGATGTGTGAAGCTGGATGAAACTTGGTCACAGCATCTTACAGATATGAATTGAAGTGTTCAGTTTTGACTGAGCTTATTTGAGGTCAAGGTCACTGTAAAAGATCTTTCATGAGTTAGTTTGTGCCTTTTTCATTACTGAAGCAACCATCTGTGGGGACGAGGAAGAGCATGAATATATTTGCTGGACATTTTCTACCATTTACCATGATTAGTTGATGGTAAGGTCGTTGACTGGTAATAACCTTGCTAATTTGGAGAATTAGTGGAACAGCACAAAGCATGTGTGTTCACACCTTGAAAGTGATCCAGCAGATTGGAAGTGCATATTTTGTTTGTTTTTAGCTGGGGACTTTAAGCTCCTGTGGTTTCTCTGCCTGCAAGTCATGTCATTAGATCATCTCTCATTAGGCAAAAGTATGGTCCAGACTCGATTATTTACAGCTGGAATATTGCTAGAAGCCAACCTGAACCTGTCAGAGTGAGTGAGTGAGTTTAGTTTCAAGCCACACTCAACAATATTCCAGCTATATGGCGGCAGTCTGTAAATAATCGAGTCCGAACCAGACAATCCAGTGATCAACAGCATGAGCATCAATGTATGCATTTTTGTGTTCTTATTTGTAGGTGTGAAGGCGTCAAAGAAGGAAGACACTTTTGGCCAGAATGATGCTGATTGGGAGGGGTGGGGTGGGGGGTATACAAGTCCATTGTAAGTGAACTGAATCTCCTGGGAGGTAATTCTGGGAACAGTTGAAAGTGGGGGAGGTCTTCTAGGAACAATTGAAGAGGAGGTATTTTAGCTGGAGATCAATTTGTAAGTGTATGTATTTCTACAACAGATTTGTCACAGTGGGGTTTCAAGAGCATATCCTGTATTCAATAAACAAAGATTTGTTATTCCTGTTTGATGCCTTTGTAAGTGTATGTATTTCTACATCCTTGATGCATGATTCATACTGATGTATCTTTTGTGTAGAACACTGAGATGAACACCAGTGACTCCGAGGCAGAGGAGGAGAAGCTTGAGGAACTTGAGACAATGCTAAGGGAGCATGACCCCGACTTTCAGAGGTGAGTCTTGACAGAATACGCCTGTGACTTCCAGATGTGGGTCACATCAGTATACGACCCCGATTTACTTAGAGGTGAGTCTTGACAGAATATGCCTGTGACTTCCAGATGTGGGTCACATCAGTATACGACCCCGATTTACTTAGAGGTGAGTCTTGACAGAATATGCCTGTGACTTCCAGATGTGGGTCACATCAATATACGACTCTGATTTACTTAGAGGTGAGTCTTGACAGAATACGCCTGTGACTTCCAGATGTGGGTCATGTGAGTATATGACCCCAATTTACTTAGAGGTGAGTCTTGACAGAATACGCCTGTGACTTCCAGATGTGGGTCATGTGAGTATACAACCCCGATTTACTTAGAGGTGAGTCTTGACAGAATACGCCTGTGACTTCCAGATGTGGGTCACGTACGATACAACCCCGATTTACTTAGAGGTGAGTCTTGACAGAATACGCCTGTGACTTCCAGATGTGGGTCACATGAGTATACGACCCCGATTTACTTAGAGGTGAGTCTTGACAGAATACGCCTGTGACTTCCAGAGGTGGGTCACGTGAGTATACAACCCCGATTTACTTAGAGGTGAGTCTTGACAGAATACGCCTGTGACTTCCAGATGTGGGTCACATCAGTATACGACCCCGATTTACTTAGAGGTGAGTCTTGACAGAATATGCCTGTGACTTCCAGATGTGGGTCACGTGCGTATACAACCCCGATTTACTTAGAGGTGAGTCTTGACAGAACACGCCTGTGACTTCCAGATGTGGGTCACGTGAGTATACAACCCCGATTTACTTAAGAGGTGAGTCTTGACAGAATATGCCGGTGACTTCCAGATGTAGGTCACTTGAGTATATGACCCCGGTTTCTTAGAGGTGAGTCTCGTCAAAAAGCAATCCTGACTTTAAGAGGTATCTTATGGGAACATAACTTCCAGAGGTGAATCATGACAGAGCTTTATGAGAACACATCTAGAGACTAAAGCTCTCAGAACTTTATCAGAAAATCTGCACACCAATCATACAATTGTCTGTATTTTCTGAAGTTGGTCATCTGTTTCCAGGGAGTTGGACTTTGGAGGGTTGCCCGGAGGAGAGTTTGACATCGCTGACTACTATCGTCTGTATCTAGCTGTAGAGAGAGTGAGGTTGGTCCTTTGTATTGATTACACCGTGTAATTGTCACTTCCCCTGCAGGGTAGTGGGGTAGCCTAGTGGTTAAAGTGTTCGCTTGTCACGCTGAAGACCTGGGTTCGATTTTCTTACATGGGTACAATGTGTGAAGCCCATTTCTGGTGTTCCCCGCCGTGATATTGCTGAAATATTGCTAAAAGTGGTGTAAAACTATACTCACTCACTATCTAGTCCAGACAAGTTCGGGGCGGTGGGGTAACCTAATGGTTAAAGCGTTGGCTTGTCACGCCGAAGACCCGGGTTCGAATCCCCACATGGGTACAATGTGTGAAGCCTATTTCTGGTGTCCTGCTCCATGATGTTGCTGCAATATTGCTAAAAGCGGCATAAAACCAAACTCAGTCAGTCAGTCAGTCAGTCAGCCAGACAAGTTCATTTACTGTGACTGGCATCAAACAATACATAACCAAACATCAAATAGGCAGACTGGAATATCTGTGATTGATATGTGTTCTGTATTGTTTTACTCCAGTCACAGTGAATGTCTGGACTAGACAAACCAGTGGCTTGTAGTATGAGCACCAGTTTGTAGCCAAGTGGTTAAGCGTTCACTTGTCGCGCAGAGAACCTGGGTTCTATTCCCCACATGGGTACAATGTGTGAAACCCATTTCTGGTGTCCCCCCTCGATATTGCTGGAATATTGCTAAAAGCAGCTTAAAACTAAACTCACTCACTCACCCATGTAGTAACCACAGATCATCATGACGACAACCGATGCTGGCCGTACCGGGCATCTTAATGGATCATGTGGTCAGGCTCTCTGACTTGGTTGACACATGTCATCAGTTCCCAATTACGCAGATCGATGCTCATGCTGTTGATCACTGGATTGTCTGGTCCAGACTTGATTATTTACAGACCGCTGCCATATAGCTGGAATATTGCTGAGTGCGGCATAAAACTAAACTCACTCACTCTCTCACTACAGTGGTGTTGCTCACAATATGAACCACTGGTTTCGGAGTCCAGACTTGATGATTTACAGGGTGTTGAATATAGTCTGAATATTGCTGTGTCCGGTGTTAAACATTAGTCAAACACTATAAGGATGTTGTTGTTGATAAAGTAGTGTTTATGGTTTTTACTGTTTCAGAGCTCCTGAAGTGTTATTCCAACCCTCCATGATTGGCATTGAGCAGGCTGGTATTGTTGAAACTGCCGATTTTGTTCTCAAGAAATATGAAGCTGCCTCACAGAACAGACTTGTACAGGTATTTGTCATGTTTGTAGACGGCTCTTGGCACCACACTTCTGTCTAGGTTGACATGTTCAAATAAGTACATGCTTGAAAGATTGTCTGAGTTACAGTTTACTATATTCTACTATATACACCATTTTATATGAAGCAAATGAAAGTGATATGAAAGCATTAATATGATTGGTCAATTGGTTTGACATGGAAGGGACATAACTCATAATAGCCATTATGTTTGCGCCACAAAATTAGATAAGTTTTATTAAGATTCCATAATTTCAGAATACAAAATATGTTTCAGAATGTGTTTATTACTGGTAGTAATGCCTGGTTGCCAGGCTTCAAGGAACGTCTGGAGAGGGATCTGCGACAGATAAGACCATTTCAGTCGACATTCAATGTGTCGGTAGCAGGTAATATATATTTATGTATTGTCAAACCTGTAATGTATGGAAACACCCATTTTCTTCAACTGCTGTTCGTAATATTTATGTGTATATATGAAGGAAATTATTTTAAATCAGCGATTCATAAAAGCAGGAAAGAGTCCTTATTTAACTCAAGCCCTGACATCATACAGACGGCGAAAGTTGTGAATGTCTTGATCACTTTGACCTTTTTCCACATTCAGCTCACCACCATGATATAACTGGAACAATGTGTTAAGTGGCGAACTCAACTCACTCACTCACTCACTGTCTGTTTCAGCCAATCCCAGCCTGGACAGTTGGCTGGGGGCAAGGAAGTGGGCATTGTCCCCCTTCCTGTCATCTTGCAGCATCACCAGGGAGGAGTATGAGGAGATGGGGGAGGGCTACCTGAAGGAACACTTCGCCTCCAACAAGTTCATCCCGACCCCTGTTCTGGTACAGAAGACATAACTCTCAACACTCACTCAGTCACTGCCATTTCATTTTGTAATAAAACTGGAAAACAACTGGTTTGCTTTGCTTTGTAGCTCATTGGATCTGATCGGCTTATGTGATGACATAGTGTTTAACCAACCATTGTAATCTTTTTTGATGTTTTCCATTTGTAATAACAATAACCCTTTGACCTAAACTTTGAACACATGATTCCAGCGTTGGTAAAAAAATTGCTCATTAATTGAATAGATGGATATGACATCGATGCATTTATTCAGATTCCATTTAAATTGCATGTAACACCTCTGTCACACTTCAAACAACAGGAGTCCTAGAGGTACAAACAATGGGTGTTTCTACTCACAGTTCAACTGCAAGGAAAACAGTTGACACAGTTTCTGACAGACTATTAGGGGAAGGTTTCGTGGTCAGATTTACACTTGGGCAGCTCATGGCTGAGTTGGCTGGTCAGTGTTCATCCCTCAGGCTTGCCTTTCTGCTGGTCTGTCCGTGATCTTCCTGCTGTCAGCCGGAACTGGTAATAACTGTCCTATCCTGCTTGCTATTAAAGGCAGATGAAGGACTAACAATCTGCCAGCTGGTCCCATTTTGTTCTGGTGTGACATCTCTCCGATAAGAGCTGACAATTCTCATGGACATAATCTGCTTAGCTGGTCACGTTTTTACTTGCTGGGCATATATTGTACAAGTGTCCACATAGTGCTATACACATTGCTATTTAAATGTTAAAGATGGAACATTCGACAGATTCGTCTTAGGAAACTTGATATCAATCATCTGTCAACTCTCATGTTTGTGATTTGTTTGAGTGGCATTCTAGAAGTTGGTGGTATAGAGACGACAAAACTTTATGGATGAACAACTTATTTATTTTCACAATGGCGACGTTTCCCTATAGATTCTTATACCGTTTTCAAGCATAAAGTTTTGACATCTCTCATGTTTGTGCAGTAGGCCTCACGTTCTTTTAATGAAAATCACGTTCTCACAGCCAGTATACTAAATCTCACATGTTTTCGTAATATGTATAAACTTGCCAGCAGAAGCTTCCAAAATACAGTCAAAAATACCCCCAAAAACAGTGATAAAAAACATACCAGCAAGTGAGAATATCATCAGGGTATTACACATTACATTTCCAGACTGATTCGTAGAGGAACAAAAAACACAACACTATGCTAAAATGTCTATATTTATTTACATTTTATACATCAAAATACAATATTTATAACAAAAAAGTTATTATATCATATTTATGCTGTTAATCACATCTGTTACAATCATGAAAAAATCTTACAAAGGTACAATAATAACCAAACAGTCAGGTGTGTAATCTTTGTCAAGTGGCTGTGAAACCCTTGCTTCTTTGGTATTCTTGTGAAACATAAATTATTTTTACAGTTCATTATTTGGACAAACACAATACTTGGCTGCTGATATCCAAGAGATTTAAAAAAATAAAATCTAAATAGCAACTGAAGAGATAAAAATATGCCGTGCATAATTAATTAATAGAGAGACATGAAACTACTGACATGAGCTACTGATTGTACAAAAAGTACTGACAAACATATGTGCAGAAGCTGTCCTTGTTATACAGACATGAAAGTACTGACGTCGGTTACTGCTGTTTACAAAAATAATCAAAACAGACATGTAGAAGCTGAGAAGGATGACAATCTGGAGTTTCACAGACGACTGACCAACTTTTCATACATAATGCAAGTCTGAACAGAACCTAATATCAGAAGCAACCATTATGTCATAAGGTTAGGTTTTGAAGATTCTCCTACGTAAATACCAAGGATGTAAAAACTATTAAATAAACACAAAAATCAAATTTTCCTTCAGAAATGCAATTGAAGGATGAACTGAATTTCTTGACATGTGGAACTCTATATATAGTGGAAGACATGATTGATTACACTGTCATTTATCTTGTGGAGAGACAAAGTTCAAAACATTTTTGCTAACTGAAAAAGCGGAAATTCAATTTCCCGTAAAATGCTGAGGTTGATGGTCCACTTCAGGATGACCATAACGAAAGGCGAAAATATAGCTTATTCTTCCTCTCTATAGTAAAGAGAAGGAATGTGCTGGCAATCGGAAGACATGATCAATTGAGATGTATCTCGGGAGAAGCGAAACCTGACATTGTTAAAAAAGAGGAAGAAACAAAAAATTCAAATACCTAAATCAATGTACGTAATTTGTTGGACTAATAGACAACCAAAGCATGATTTACTTCTGTTGTAAAATTTGCATTGCCTGATCGAAGATTGAAACATGTTTTGTGAAAACAATTCACCGTTATGAAAAACAGAACGAAACAAGAAAGGGACATAACAGCTTCCTATGTCCTTGCTGTGAGCGGCTGTTTCATGGCGTTCTCAGTGCTGTGGCCGAACGTGTTGCCATATCGGAACTTTTGGCCTGGAGGAGAACACCGAAGTGATTATGGACATTTACAGTAACAAAGGGATGCGCTTGCAAGATAACATGACATGATTTTGTTTGTTTGGTGATTAACGCCTCACTCAGCAATATTCCAGCTATATGGCGGCGGTCTGTAAATAATCGTGTCTGGACCAGACAATCAAGTGATCAACAGCATGAGCATCGATCTACGCGATTGGGACCGCCTCCGTGGTGTAGTGGTTAGAGCTTCCGCCCGGAGAACGGAAGGTCGCGGGTTCGATCCCCGACTGCGTCATACCAAAAGACCTTAAAATATGGTACTTGTTGGTCCCTGCCTGGCGCTCGGCATTAATGGGTACAACAAGGACTGGTCGGCTCGGAGTCAGTATAATGTGTCTGAGTGGGGTATTCATGCTTCACTGCGGCATGGTATCTCAGTGGGCTAGCACTATAAAACCAGCTTAAGTCTGGGCTAGTACAAGCAGCCGCACATACACATACACGCATGCACGTCGTCATATGATCGAAATATTCTCAAGCACGACGTTAAACCCAATTTCACCTCACCTCACCTACGCGATTGGGATACGATGACGTGTCAACCAAGTCGACCACCCGATCCCATTAGTCCCCTTTAGGACGTTAATGGGTTGCTGAAGACTAATTCTAACCCGGATCTTCACGGGTCCAATATTATATATTACATGACAATAATTATGTGCATATACTTTGCTGATGAACATATCCCTGTATCGTTTCAGGAAGTAAGACTCACCTGCCAGCAGTGCAGTGGGTATGGGTTGGACTGTATAAAATGTAGACGTGCTACAAATCACTATATGTTTCATATTATCAGGTGATGTTCTATATATAATGTACACACACCAGTTAGGCTACCCTCTCTGTAGAATGTTCAAACAGTGAACTCACAAGGCATGTGTCCAATATAGTGAGGTTAAGGTATACACAACTTTCATCACAAGGTATCTGTTCAGAATAGTGAGGGTGTATGCACTAGTGGTGGTCCGATTAATTGAAATAATCGAAGATTGGTCGTAGTGACTATACGACCAAGCAATCGATCATGTTTTCTCATAATCGAACACAAACAATTGTGGAACATTTGTTTTCATTAACAATATATTTCACATGGTTGGTTTTGTCTGTTACATTCCTTAAGCACTACAAGCTCGTTCCAAGACATGATTGAATATATCTTAAAGACTCTAAGAAATGTATGTCCCTTACATACTTGTCATCCTTTAAAGATATGAAATTTTGCACCAAAAAACCCAAAGAACTACATGTTGTTTTTCCTTATTTGAGCATTAACAAAAATAACCAGGAACATTTCATAAATGACGCTAACCAATTATTTTCGATGATTGATCGGTTGTAATGAACCAATCATCAATTATGAAATTTTAACCAATTTCCAACACTAGTATGCACCATATAGTAAGCTTCCATCTATACTCACCTACCACCACAGACTGGCATAGTGAGGTAGAAGCCCATTTAAGGTGTATGTGTAATGTAAATTCCACTATATAAAAACTAAAAACCAAGTAACTAGTGTAGGGAGGTTCTTTTATACACAACTTAATCATCAGGTATATGTCAGATATAGTGATGTTCCACTATATACCCACCAGGTATGTGTCCAGTATGGTGGAGTTCCACAATACATTATCACCCGGTATGTGTCCGGTATAATGAGGTTCCACTATAGACTTGCCAGGTATATGTCGGTCATAGTGAGGTTCTACTATATACAACCAACTCACCAGGTACGTGTCCGGTGTAGTGAGGTTCCACTATATACAACCTACTCACCAGGCATGTGTCCGGTATAGTGAGGTTCCACTATATACAACCAACTCAGGTTTGTCTACTAACGGGATCGGGTGGTCAGGCTGTGCTGGCTTGGTTGACACTCATCAACAGCCCAAGGTATGTGTCAGGTCGAGTGAGTCATGCTGTTGATCACTCACCAGGATGTGTCTGGTCCAGACTTCCATTATATACAGACCGCCGCCATATAGCTGGAATATTGCTGGTATACGGCGCAAATCTAAACTCACTAGTCTCCACTACTACAACTCACCAGGTATGTGTCCGGTGTAGTGAGGTTCCATTATATACAACAACTCACCAGGCATGTGTCCGGTATAGTGAGGTTCCACTATATACAACCAACTCACCAGGTATGTGTCCGGTGTAGTGAGGTACCAGTCCTGTCTCTACGGGGTACACGCCCTTCATATCCTGGACTATTTTCTCCTCCCTGTGGACGGTGACAGGCAGGCCCTTGATAGACTGTGACCGAGCCACGTCGTCGGTGAATTCGTTCAGGGCGTGGTGGGTGATGATCGGGTAGCCGATGCCGATTAGACCACGTGACCGAGGGACGAATCCTGTGTAGCCTGAATGACAGATTTGGAGAAATAGGGTTTAAGGTCAGCTGATTGCACATGTATCACGCGTGCGTGCACGTGTGTGTGCCTTTTGCTCTACTAATGCCGGTTTTACAGTGCTTGTCAACCGAGGCACAGTGGTCTTCAGCAACCCATGCTTGTTGTAAGAATCGGGTCGTCATGGTTGCTGCAAGTCATCGTATCCCAATCACGGATCGATGCTCATTATTTCAATCACTAGGATCTCTAGTCCAGGGGCTCCTTTCACGAAGCAACCTTTACTAAGGTTAACCTTAACTCCCATTCTTTAACATTGCACTAAGGTTACGTTAGTGACTTACGATCACCCAAGTGCTTTGAGAAAGGAGGTCCTGATTTCTCGAAACAAAGATCGATTATTTACGGACCGGCGTAATATGGCTGGAAAATTGCCAAGTTCAAGCAACAACATAAACACATTAAACAGACGCACCGTTATATACCCTAACATTGTTCAAAGCGGCATAAACAGGAGTCATCAGAAGTACCACCGGCCCCCACACATTTTAAAGAACAGATCATCTGACAGTTACTTTAAGTCCAACTTGATTTTTTTTAGACTAAGTCCGAATCGTTTCCATGGAAATCATGAAAAATTAAAATGCCAAAAATCCGCAAATAGCAAAAGGCACCACTTAGGCATCTGTCTCATATATCTGGTAAGTTCTGTCCGGAAACGAAGCCCATCCCTCCCTGTTGAGACTAAGTCCGAATCGTTTCCATGGAAACAGGGGAAAATAAAAATGCCAAAAATCTGCAAAAATAGCAAAATGCACCACTTTGGGATCTGAGAGGTTTTATTGATAGATATTGAACGATTTTTTAGTTATGCTCCGGAAACGAAATCCCCCCTTTTTGAGAGAAAGTCCAAATTGTTTCCATGGAAATCCAGAAAAAATGACAAACATCTGTAAATAGCAAAAGGCGCCACTTTAGGTTCTGTTTATATAAATACCAATTTTTGTAGAAAAAATATTGAACGGTCTTTAAGTTATGCTCCGGAAACAAAATGATTACGGACGGACGGACATACAGACGGACGAACGAGGCGTTGACTGTCTCCCCCCGCATTAACAACATGAACACATTAAACTGACACCCCTATATACCCTGACACTGTTCAAAGCGGCATGAAACATTTCACTGACTTACCTGACATGAAACATTTCACTGACTTACCTGACATGAAACATGTCACTGACTTACCTGACATGAAGTTTTTGTTTGGGTCGGCATTGCTCATGTAGAAGGGTGACATCTTTGGTTGGACGGCGTTAGGAGACAGATAGGACTCGGGTTCCGCAGCTATAGCCTTTAATGGGTGAAGCTGCTTCGTTTTTAGGGGCTGCAAAACAACGCGCACACAATACTAATACCCTGCATAAATTCAAGTAATACGCACAGACTGTGGTGCAGTGCGATACTGATGAACGGACTTATCAAATTGATCAAACCTTTTTAACGAATATGTTCATTAAACTCTAAACTCATCACATAGTGGGGGTAATTATTAGGAAACTATGATAAACGAATTACTCTTGAAGATTGACAAGTTTCGGTGTCTTTTAAGATCTATACAACCAGGTCCTGTCTTTCGTGATGAAGACACTCGTCCATCAGGAGACGATAATTTCATTGGTGCTTCTTGTTATGCAACCTTTATGAGATTTGGCTTTACAGTTTGACCATACTAACCACATCATCCTAACCAGATCCAGATATGTTTGTGTTTTTCATCACTGGCAGATATTATACCATTCTTAACACAAACTCACCTGTAGATGTAAATGTAATGATCGTTAGATCATCAGGTTCACTGTCTGTCAGATCCTGCGATTTTGTCCATAAAGCAAGCACAGATGTTATTTTTGTATCAAATCTTTGAGAGATCTCTTAGTGTTGAACTAAATTCAACCGCACATCAAGAAACTAACCGACAGATAAGCTGTCCTGGGCGTCCTGTCTGTCTATAGGTGTTCTACAGAAACTCACCGACAGATCAAGGGTTGATCTGGGCGTCCTGCCTGTATATCGGTAAGTCATCTACAGAAACTCACCGGCAGATCTCGCTTTGTCCTGGTTTGTCCTGCTTGTCTATCGGTAAGTGTTCTACAGAAACTAACCGACAGATAAGCTGTCCTGGGCGTCCTGTCTGTCTATAGGTGTTCTACAGAAACTCACCGACAGATCAAGGGTTGATCTGGGCGTCCTGCCTGTATATCGGTAAGTCATCTACAGAAACTCACCGGCAGATCTCGCTTTGTCCTGGTTTGTCCTGCTTGTCTATCGGTAAGTGTTCTACAGAAACTCACCGGCAGATTCCGCTTTGTCCTGGGCGTCCTTCCTGTCTATCGGTAAGTCACCTACAGAAACTCACCGGCAGATCTCGCTTTGTCCTGGGCGTCCTTCCTGTCTATCGGTAAGTCACCTACAGAAATTCACTGGCAGATTCCGCTTTGTCCTGGTTTGTCCTGCTTGTCTATCGGTAAGTGTTCTACAGAAACTCACTGGCAGATTCCTCTTTGTCCTGCTTGTCTATCGGTAAGTCATCTACAGAAACTCACTGGCAGATCTCGCTTTGTCCTGGGCGTCCTTCCTGTCTATCGGTAAGTGTATCGGTAAGTCACCTACAGAAACTCACTGGCAGATTCCTCTTTGTCCTGGTTTGTCCTGCTTGTCTATCGGTAAGTGTTCTACAGAAACTCACCGGCAGATTCCTCTTTGTCCTGGTTTGTCCTACCTGTCTATCGGTAAGTCATCTACAGAAACTCACCGGCAGATTCCTCTTTGTCCTGGGCGTCCTTCCTGTCTATCGGTAAGTCATCTACAGAAACTCACCGGCAGATCTCGCTTTGTCCTGGGCGTCCTTCCTGTCTATCGGTAAGTCATCTACAGAAACTCACTGGCAGATCTCGCTTTGTCCTGGGCGTCCTGCTTGTCTATCGGTAAGTGTTCTACAAAAACTCACCGGCAGATCTCGCTTTGTCCTGGGCGACCGTCCTGTCTATCGGTAAGTCATCTACAGAAACTCACCGACAGATGTCGCTTTGTCCTGGGCGTCCTTCCTGTCTATCGGTAAGTGTTCTACAGAAACTCACCGGCAGATCTCGCTTTGTCCTGGGCGTCCTACCTGTCTATCGGTAAGTCATCTACAGAAACTCACTGGCAGATCTCGCTTTGTCCTGGGCGTCCTTCTTGTCTATCGGTAAGTCATCTACAGAAACTCACCGGCAGATTCCTCTTTGTCCTGGGCGTCCTTCCTGTCTATCGGTAAGTCATCTACAGAAACTCACTGGCAGATCTCGCTTTGTCCTGGGCGTCCTTCCTGTCTATCGGTAAGTCATCTACAGAAACTCACTGGCAGATCTCGCTTTGTCCTGGGCGTCCTGCCTGTCTATCGGTAAGTCATCTACAGAAACTCACTGGCAGATCTCGCTTTGTCCTGGGCGTCCTTCCTGTCTATCGGTAAGTCATCTACAGAAACTCACTGGCAGATCTCGCTTTGTCCTGGTTTGTCCTACCTGTCTATCGGTAAGTGTTCTACAAAAACTCACTGGCAGATCTCGCTTTGTCCTGGGCGACCTGTCTATCGGTAAGTCTATCGGTAAGTCATCTACAGAAACTCACTGGCAGATCTCGCTTTGTCCTGGGCGTCCTTCCTGTCTATCGGTAAGTCATCTACAGAAACTCACCGGCAGATCTCGCTTTGTCCTGGGCGTCCTTCCTGTCTATCGGTAAGTGTTCTACAGAAACTCACTGGCAGATTCCTCTTTGTCCTGGTTTGTCCTACCTGTCTATCGGTAAGTCATCTACAGAAACTCACCGGCAGATCTCGCTTTGTCCTGGGCGTCCTGCTTGTCTATCGGTAAGTCATCTACAGAAACTCACTGGCAGATCTCGCTTTGTCCTGGGCGTCCTGCTTGTCTATCGGTAAGTGTTCTATAGAAACTCACTGGCAGATCTCGCTTTGTCCTGGGCGTCCTACCTGTCTATCGGTAAGTCATCTACAGAAACTCACCGGCAGATCTCGCTTTGTCCTGGGCGTCCTGCTTGTCTATCGGTAAGTCATCTACAGAAACTCACCGGCAGATCTCGCTTTGTCCTGGGCGTCCTGCCTGTCTATCGGTAAGTCACTGGCAGATCTACAGAAACTCACTGGCAGATCTCGCTTTGTCCTGGGCTTTGTCCTGGGCGTCCTGTCTATCGGTAAGTGTTCTACAGAAACTCACTGGCAGATCTCGCTTTGTCCTGGGCGTCCTGCCTGTCTATCGGTAAGTCATCTACAGAAACTCACCGGCAGATCTCGCTTTGTCCTGGGCGTCCTGCCTGTCTATCGGTAAGTCATCTACAGAAACTCACCGGCAGATGTCGCTTTGTCCTGGGCGTCCTGCCTGTCCTGCTTGTCTATCGGTAAGTCCTGCTTGTCTATCTACAGAAACTCACCGGCAGATGTCGCTTTGTCCTGGGCGTCCTGCCTGTCTATCGGCAAGTCATCTACAGAAACTCACCGGCAGATCTCGCTTTGTCCTGGGCGTCCTGCTTGTCTATCGGTAAGTCACCTACAGAAACTTACCGGCAGATCTCGCTTTGTCCTGGGCGTCCTGCCTGTCTGTAACGCCTCCAGGTCAGTCAGTTCCTGCATCTTGCCTTTGTGTACCCGGTGATCCATCTCAAAGTCACGGATGGAGTTCCGGCAGACCTCGGCGTAACGCGTGCCGAAATAGTGCTCGCCCTTGGGGATGAAACCTGGACAGAAGTCAAACTGCCTCGCTCAAAAAACGGACAAATATCAAGTGTCCAGCTGAACACATGGCCAATATCAAAAGTCGAGCTCAATAAATGACCAATATGCCCGGCCTAGCTCAATACATGATCGGGGTGATGGGTTAGCCTAATGGTTAAAGCGTCCGCTCGTCACGCTGAAGACCCGGGTTCGATTCTCCACGTGGGTACAATGTGTGAAGCCCATTTCTGGTCTCCCCCGCCGTGATATTGCAGGAATATTGCTAAAAGCGGCGTAAAACTGTATTCACTCACTCAATACATGATCACTTTTACCTATCTGGATCAATACGTGTCTAAAATTACCTGTCTAGATCAATAAATGGCCAAATAACCGCTCAATATGTGGCCAATACATCCGCTCAAAACTTTGCCAATATCAATTATCCAGCTCAATACGTGGGCAATGCCAACTGAAACTGTCAAGCTCGATGAACTGTCAATATACACTGTATAGCTGGCAATACAATATACACACACATATACTATGTAACTCTATACGGGACAAATATCACTTGTTGATCCCCAGAAACTACGTTGCTCAATACACAGAATTATTTTAAATAAATAAATAACATAAATAAATAAAATAAATAAATAAATAAATAAATAAATAAATAAATAAATAAATAAATAAATAAATAAATAAATAGAAGATAAATAGAATAAATAAATAAAGAGAAAGATAAATAAATAAGTACGACACAAACAATTATTTAATTAATAAATAGATAGATAGAAAGATAAATAAATAAGTACGACACAAACAATTAATTATTTAATTAATAAATAGATAGAAAGATAAATAAATAAGTACGACACAAACAATTAACTAATTAATTAATAGATTGATTGATAAATAAATACTGTACGACATTAACAAAATCTTAAGCTGGGAACACTGCATCTACAAATATTCTGTCTCTAATACAACACCCCCACCCCACGTCAAGGAAAACCTTGGTGACATTGAACACGTATGTACTTCCAACTGCAATCCGACCTGCACCCACCGGAGCGGTAAAGACAAGCTAAGTTGAGACTTGGACTTCTACAGGCGTGTAAATCAAAGCCGATCTGCTAATAAGACGGGATCGGTTTCGTGTGTTCATGGTCGCCTGGCTTAATCGTAGATACAGTCTGTATTCTATCACTATAATCGCATTAGCTTATATAACATTCTAGCGCAAAGAACGTCCTTTACATGAGGTTCTGTAACTGGAAGAAATACCTCATTGAGAGCAATTTCCAGCAATATCACGGTGTTGCCTCGCTATGGGGGAATGAACCCGGGCCTTGGAAGCCATTTAACCACTAGTCTACCCCACCGCCCCTTAACTGGAAGAAATATCGAGAGATGCAGGGACATGTCACAACGTGCAGGACAGTATATGTTTGTTTGTTTGTTGTTTAACGCCGCACTCAGCAATATTCCAGCTATATGACGGCGGTCTGTAAATAATCGAGTCTGGAGCAGACAATCCAGTGATCAACAGCATGATCATCGATCTACGCAACTGGGATACGATGACATGCGTCAACCAAGTCAGCCTTTTGGTTAAGTCTGAGATTAATCCAAGTCAAGATTGAAAAGCAAGTATATCACCTTCAGTGAGTGAGGTTTTACGCCACATTTAGCAATATCCCAGCAGTATCACGGCGGGGGTCACCAGGAATGCTCTTAACACATTGAACCCATGTGGGGAATCGAACCCGAGTTTTTGGCGTGTCGAGGGAACGCTTTAACCACTAGGCTTCCCCATACGGTACATGGACAGAACCTGAGTATTACTATCTAAGATCAACACTCTCGTGTTTAATCGTTCTACAATACAGAAAATATACACTCAACACGAACTTTCTGTACACAAATTTTGGTTAATTCTGAGATTAATCCGCTTGACAAGTCAAGCTTGAAGAGCAAACATATCACCTTCCGATTTTAAACTGAGCGACCGTACATGGATACGTTTTCATAACAGAACCCGAGTATTGCTATATAAGGTCAACACTCTCAGGTTAAATCGTTCTACAATGCAAAATATTTACACGTAGTACGAACCTTTTGTATACACATTTTGTTAATTTTAATTAAGCGGTGCCATCTACAAAATATTATCGACCCCCAGTTCCTAAAAAGAAGTAAACACTAGTGTTGGGAATTGGTTGCAATCTCACAGTTGATAATTGGTTCATTAACAGAGTCATCGAAAAAACTTGTTAGCGCCATTTTTCAGATTTTCCTATTCAGATAAGTATAACATGGTTCTCTGTTGTTTTTTGCTTTATTTAGAAACTGTGCAAATTGCATTTGCAAATTTCACATCCAATTAAAAATAATACATCTTGCTACTTTACAGTGATGACTAATATATCATGAACATAAACTTCCTGGAGTCTTCAAGAAATATTCAGTCATGACTTTTCATTAAGTGAAATGGGTTTTCTAAGAATTAAACAAGTTTTCAGACCCTTGGGAAAAAAAGTTACACAAACCACTTGCTTGAAGCCACCACGGTTTCGCCCGTGAACGCGCAATATCTGACATAAAACAGTCATGTGGATAAAAAGTAGTTCATCCTCGATGAACCTGAACTGGACTCTTGAAAATACCACCTTTCATCTTTAACTATCTGCGTGACCCATCAGTAGTGACGTTGAGTAACTTATTTTTAAGAAACACTGACATTATCTATATAATCACTGACACGCGATCATGTTCTCAACTCATTCCCAATCAGGCTGGTCTGGTACGGCCTTAAGTTAAAATTAGAACAAACATGAACGATAGTACATATAACAGTAAGCAAATAACTGTTCATAACATTAATAACAAACAAACACGCGCACGTACGCACACACGCACGCATCCACACAACATGAAGCATCATTTGTTAGATTGCCTACAGTCCCTTCCTTTCGACAAAGGAGAATTTAGAATTCAAACGGCGTTCTATAGCTCAAATAGTCCCATAGCTCAAACAGCGTTCTATAGCTCGACGAACACTGAATGTGTGTTGTCTGGTAAAATAAAATTATAGCTAACACATCGTCGTAGCAGATTTGTCAATCTTCACACCCGTTCGTGATCACATAGCTGGGGTTATGACTCCATTTCAAAGGCTAACGAAGTCTTTCGTCAATGTTGTTTTTACTTTTATTTTAAGGAAGAGGTGCTTACTTTTTCAAATGGTAACACTCTACTTACCTGTGTACCCTGGCACCATTTTCTCTACCAGCTTTTGGTCCCCCCAACTTTGAACTCGAGAGTTGAGAATCTTGCCTCGCTCCTGTTGGACGAGATCGAGGCTAGCAGACGGCTGAATGTCGGCGAGGACCAGACGACCGGAACTAGCGACATCCGTGTCTTGGAGCAGACGAGATGTCGTTCGGCCGAATGTCTGGCCGATTTGGTACTTGAATTGGGGACAGAAGCCGCCATAACTATAGGGAACAGAATATATAAAAACATATTTAATAAATGATGTTAACTATCATAAATATTATTTATTCCCCTCTATCATTTAGGTAGGTTTTAAGGGAATAACTGTTTGGCAACCCCCTGGGGAGATTCAAGCTCAGGGTAGGTCCCAGTACCTCGTGCATGTAACGAGAGACGACTAAAGCAGGCTTTATGAGCGGCTGATCATGTCATTGATCACCATTACACCAATAATCGTGATTCATGCCTGTAATCCTGATTATTTACAGACCGCCGTGACATTACTGACAGCGGAGTTAAACAATATTCATTCACTGAATCCAAAATGGACTGTAAAACAAGTTGACACACACACACTACCCCATTCATAATAAATAGTATAATTTTAAGACGACATATGCTTTCCAATGCATTATCTGGCAATATTCCAGCTCTGTCGGCAGCCTGTGAGTGAGTGAGTTTAGTTTTACGCCGCTTTTAGCAATATCACGGCGAGGGACACCAGAAATGGGCTTTACACATTGTACCCATGTGGGGAATCGAACCCGGGTCTACGGCGTCTTCGCCCTCATCAGTCTTAATATCAAACGTGACTGGACACATCAACAAAATACATTGTTGCCACGCGATTTGTGTGGGGTTTCCAACAAACAGGCCCGTGGGGAATTGTGAATAAAAACATCCCAAAACTAAACATTTAAGGGTCGAATAAAATGATTTTGCTGATTCAAGTCATCGTATCACAGATATTGCGTAGATCTAATCTCATGATGTCAATCACTGAACTTTCTGGTCCAGACTCGACTATCCATAGACCCACGTGACACACCTTAAATATTGAAGAATGTGGCATGAAATAAAAAATAAGATAACGAAGTCATCGATATTCCTAGCAAATGGTAAATACCTATCGAGAATATATCAAGTAGATGCGTGAGTGAGTTTAGCTTTTAGCAATATTCCAGCAATGTCACGGCGGGAGACACCAGAGATGGGCTTCACACATCGTACCCATGTGGGGAATCGAACCCGGGTCTACGGCGTGACGAGCATCCGCTTAACCACTGTGCTACCCCATCGCCCCGAGAATACATCATGTATAGGTAAATAATAATGGGATCAAAAGGCACCAGTTGACCACCAGATTTATTTGTATAAGCCAAGTTTGGTGAAGAAATATCAGAGGTATAGATCGTCTGCGTATCTGCGTAAATTACGCAAATATTTATGTGAAAACTCAATTCCTATCAAGTCTATTGCGTACATATTCTCGCTTGACGTTAAACCCAATTTTCACCTCACCTAAATACTCAATACATTTGATCTTACAATGGGATCGTACTGTAACCAGATTTATCTCATAAGCAAAGTTTGCAAACCTATATAAGAGATATTTGCGTATCTGCGTAGCAGCCCATGTGATGTGCTATCAAGATGGCGGTTACTGAGGATAGATAGAATAACTCTTAGCTTGAGGTGTATTGAGAGGTTCTATTTCAGCACCTGAACTTGGCAACTTGCAGTCTTCCTCATCGTTTCTCATATTACAGATCAAATACAAATTGTCAAATAACACATACGTAAACCAACATTTAAACTTCATTCTATTTTCACAAATAATGGAAAATGGCAAAATACCCAATTGAGTTTGAGTGAGGTGGGTATAATTTACTTGATTACTCAAAGGAAAATTAGGATACCCAATTGAGATGAACACATGCAAGCGAGTTACATAACTCAATGACCCAAAACGTTATCTGTAGCTCTGAAATATAGTTCGGTTTTCAAGAACTTCTCCAGAAACAAGTACTACCGCCGTTTTCAGTCTAGGTCGATGCTGTTGCCATGTAAACTGGAAATTTTGTTTGTTCTCTTTTTAAAAAAATGAATAACTATCAAAAAACGCACCAGTTTACCACATGACCTATCTACCTGCTGTGTTTGGTGAAGAAATAATAAACTGGTTACAAGAACTGCTTCGAAAACGAGCACTAACACTATTTTCAGTCAAAGTTGTTGCCATGGAAACATATAGACTATTTTTTATCATATTCCCAAAACGTCAAAGGGCACTACTTCTTCACAAGATCTATCTATGGTCAAAGTTTGATGAAGAAATATGGTACGGTCTTAAATTTCTGATTTCCGCATATTTCCGGAAACGATATCTTGCATGGACGCATGGAAGGAGTTCATGTTAATATCCATGGTAGATGTATATAAATACAGGTCTCCGTCATCTACCCGGCATACTCGGGGAGAAAACATCAAACCAGTAGAAGGCATGAAGCACCTTATAGCTATTTAATATTTTAGTTCTCATAATATTGATATGAAATAAGGAATTTTTTGCCATTTTTTACATATAACCTGTGTTATTGATTGAATGACTGCAGTAAAATATATTTGACAAGAAAACCTATTTTATTTACAATGTTTATCCTGCACTTTCATTGGCGTTCACACAACACAATAAAACCCGTTCTGTTAAATCCACATATGTACATGCAACAATTGTAATCAATTCCAATTCAATTCTAATTCTCGCGCTCTCTGTTTCTTCTATATATAGTTTCTTTCTATATACAATAGAATGTATATAATTAGGTATCCGGTATTCTGTAAGTGTACCGTATATAGATATCAGCTGATGGATAACTGGATTGGGTAAACATGAACATTTGTTGACTGAAAAAAAAACGTTCGCGGGAGAATGCATTGGAAAAGTCATTAAACTTCATTAGACTTATTTTTTTAGAGAGCTCTGGCGTATATGAAACTCTAAACAACGAAATATCGAGTTTGAGATTTCATTAATAACTGCTAACGACATCTTATTTTTCTCAAAAGATAAACCATAATATATTATGTGAATATGCTGAAAATAATATAATCTTGCATATCCGAAAATTGCAAGTCATTTCAAGTGGTACTGGTATTCAAAATCAACAACCACTCAGTATATCGATGTATAGATATACGTGATTCTTGTGATATACTCACCCGGGTGTATGGTATGGGTCGGGTGTCATTAAAATACTCTTCCCTTTGCAGTTTGAGCCTGGCATTTTGATTAACGAAACTGATGTTTACTGACCAACACCAAAGGTTAAATATCCCAGGAGAGAGTACCCGTGTGCCTTTCAGGGAAAGCTCGTGTCGCTATGAAACAATCACGTTACGTCACGGGATTTGCTGCCACGCGTTCTGTGACGTCATTTTGGAAGACCTCTGGAAACGGAGTCAGTGAACCAAAGGCGATCAGTCACGAATTTGCTTGTGTTTTATTATGTAATATGAGAAGGCAAACCTATTACCTTGAAAGTTTGAATAACCCGGTGTAAGATACTTGTATGATTTTAGTGCAGATTATAAAAGAAAGGTAAACGATTTGCAACAAATGAGTGTAGATATTAGAGGTGAATACATGTAGTTTACTTTTGGTCCTAATAGCCAAATGAAAGTATAAACAATTTTATTACGTTTCTATATGTCTTCAAGAAATGTCAATTGAAAAAATATAGACTACAGTTAAAGCGAAGAAACATCTGCAAGGTGCCGAATCCGGTTTTGACAATTTCCAGAAGGAACTTTATATGTTGACCCGTACTGACATTCAGTGAGTGAGTGAGTTTTGTTTTACGCCGCTTTTTACCCCAAACCCACTCACTCACTAGCCCAGTGACTTTTTTCGAAAAATATTGTGCATTAAAAAAGATGAAGTGGTAAAGTGGATGTTGACCTAAAAGCGGTGTAAATTTGCCAGGAATCGGAGTAATGAAAATCTAATGCACACCGATCCACTGTATAAAGTAATAAAACAGCGCTTTTAAGATGCTTTAGGTTATACATTTGGCTCATTATGTGTATGTAAAGTATTATTATCCCTTAGCTGGAATATTGCGTAACATGGCATCAGCGAGTGAAATAGTTTCCAAATTTTGCTAGCCAGTCGGGCTAGCTATGCCTGAAAGTTACTAACCCACAAAATAATTCACTAGCCCGAAATTTAAATGTAAACACGGGTTTCATCATTAAGCTGCTAATATGATGAACATTTTAATCAGGCCACAATGTTGCATGATTTAAATGTGTATACATAACTGAACAAGTCGGAGAGAGTGATATATTTAGGACATGACCCCATGAAATCGGGTCAGTGACTGTGGAGAGTTACTGGCCCGACTGGATTTTTACTAGCCATAGGCTAGCGCAGCGGGCCAGTGGCTATTTCGCACACTGCATGGCATAGAGCTATACTCAATCACCCTTTACAGTTGCGTTGATGGCCTTGCGTTCGAAGAGCGCAATTCGGTATGCAGAGTTATGTCCCTTCCTCCAGTCGCGATAGTTCTGTACATGCAGCTCCCTCCTTTCTACCAGCCGGCAGTGTTTGGTCGGTAAAACCAATAAATGCGGAAAACTGTTAAAACTAAGCAGAAAATAGCTTCTCCCACAGCTGTCAGGATCCACTGTCCGAATGCTCTACAATGATGATTGAATATGATTATCCGCCGCTTTTAACGACATTCCAGCATTTCACGGTGGAGGACATTCCAGCATTTCAAGTTTCTTTCACACATTTTACCCACGGTGGGAATCGAACCCGTTTTTTGTTTTGTTTTGATCACTTCCCCCCTTCACAGAAGAGAATCACTCACCTCATATTTTGTTGTGCATAACACATTGTAATACATAGTTCTGTTTTGGAAATCTTCTCTTCATTCAATACATATCTATACACAAGTCAAGATATTTCTTATTTCAGGAAGCCTATTCTCTAAATTCACTCTTTCATTACCCTGGGTTAGAATTGGTCTTGAGCATCCATGCTTGTCGTAAGAGGCGACTAACGGGATCGGTGGTCAGGCTCGCTGACTTGGTTGACACACGTCATCGTATCTCAATTGCGCAGATCGATGCTCATGCTGTTGATCACTGGATTGTCTGGTCCAGACTTGATTATTTACAGACCGCCGCCATATAGCTGGAATGTTGCTGGGTGCGGCGTTAAACAACAAACAAACAATAAACAAACCCAAGTTTATGTGGACTACGTGATTGTACTAGGTGGATTTTATCCTGATAGAGCTGTTTTCATCCCAGTAAGGAGGTGATTTCATCTCAGGATAATTTCACTCTAGAATGTATCAGTTCAAGGGCAGGATCTCCCCACATGGGTACAATGTGTGAAGCCCATTTCTGGTGTCCCCCGCCGTGATATTGCTGGAATATTGCTAAATGCGGCGTAAAACCAAACTCACTCACTCACTCAAGGGCAGGATCACTCCAGAGTGAAATTTAGGGGAGTAATTTAATCCATTTTTGAGGTTCATGGATTTCATAATGGTAAACGTCTGAAACATACTTGTGTTTCCTCCGGTTGGAAAACAATACACAATACTTGAATTACTGTTGTGGGAAACTCTACAAATAATGTAAGTTGATAAACCTATAAACTCCAAATCAAAGTAGTGAGGGTATATACGATCCAATGGTTGGTTGATATAAAGCGCAAGTCGAACGAGGTACGTCGGCACGTAAACCTCTGGGCCCTGTTTCATAAAGCTATCGCTACGACTGTCGTAAGTCTATGTTACAGTAAAGGAGGTACGACAGTCGTAGCGCTACGATAGCTTAGTGTAACTGGGCCCCGTTTCACAAAACTCTCGTAAGCTTAAGATCTCGTAACTTTTCTCGTAGCATTCGTACTCCTTACAGTATAGGAGGTACGAATGCTACGAGAAAAGGACCCCGTTCCTCAAAGCGATCGTAGCTCTACGACAGTCGTAAGTCTATGTTAAAGTATGGGAGTTACGATCATCTTAGCGCTACGATCGTTTTGAGGAACAGCGATCGTAGTCTACGACTGTCTTGAGCCTCTGCTTAAGTATGGGAGTTACGATTATCTTAGCGCTAAGATCGCATTGCGGAATGGACGCCAAATGTCCGTAACTTGTACCACCGGGTTAATTCGGGACCAACTCAGACCACAGGACCCTCGTGTCTTTGCGAGGATTAAAGATTTCATAAAATAAATACAAAAATTTGAGATGACCCCTGACTCGAAATGCTTCACAGCATAATATCTTATGATGTATTGTACTGTGAAGCATTTCGAGTCGGGGGTCATCTCAAAAACAATATTTTGTAAATCATTAATCCTCGCAAAGACACGAAGGCCTGTGACTCAGACCCTAAATCTCCACTGAGAAGTTATTAATGGTTCCAAGAGCAGAACTTCTGCACATGTTGTGTTTGTCAAGAAACTGCACAAACGGAGGCCCAGTTAGCCGAATGGCACATGTATCTGCATAGTTTAACTCCTTAGCCGGAGCAAGATCAGCTGATCACTAACTCGAAGATTCGCCCTGCTTGTGTTTGTTTGTTTGTTGTTTAAAGCCGCAGTATTACAGCTATAAGGTCTGTAAATAATCGAGTCTAGACAAGACAATCCAGTGATCAACAACATGAGCATCGATCTACGCAACTGAGATGATATGAGACTGACCACCCGATCCCATTAGTCGCCTCTTACGACAAGCATGGGTTGCTGAAGACCAATTCTAACCCGGGTCCTGCTTGTGTTCATAGGTTTCACATATGTTTGCCGCGTCATTTTGGAGGAATTGTTTCCACATTAAGTAGTCACACCCTGAAATAACTGCAATTGTGTTCAAAGTGAGGTTAAACGAAATATATTCACTCACTCACACAATATATTTACTATGACATGCTGGTGTGGTGTAGGGGGAGATACCTCTGTACGGCTTGTCTAAGTACCGGTGTGGCGTAGTGCGGTGTGGTAGCCTAATGGTTATACGGTTGGCTCTTCACGCCACAGGTCCGGGTTTGATTCCCAAATGTGTGTAGCCCATTTCTGAGGTTCTCTTAGTAACGGCGTGGTTTGGTGCGGTGTGGTAGCCTAATGGTTATACGGTTGGTTCTTCACGCCACAGGTCCGGGTTTGATTCCCAAATGTGTGTAGCCCATTTCTGGTGTAACCTAATGGTTATAGGGTTGGTTCTTCACGCCACAGGTCGGGTTTGATTCCCAAATGTTGTGATATTGCTGGAATATTGCTTTAAAAGTAGGGTAAGCCTAATGGCCCATCTCACTCACTCACTCTCTAAGTTTTCTGAGGTTCTCTTAGCCTACCCCAAGAACACGGGTAAGGCGCCGCAACTCTAAGTTGGCTCAACAATTGCTACTGTATGCTTGTAACCGCAATACAAACGAAATACAATTAACTACACAGGCGTTATACATCAAACAAACATCATGTTGCGACACTCCCAGACATATAGCGATTACTTTCGATGAAGTAAAGCACGCGCATTTGTGGGTAAGTGATTATATCGATTCTAAAAATTGATTATTATTTGTAGCCGGAATCCTACAACTCTTGCTGGCGTTTCTTGTGGGTCGAACATTTCTCCTCCGTTGTTCCAATCCAAAAAGTTGATACTATGCGATGAATAGATTAGGGGAACTAAAATTATAGTTATAATTATAGGCGGTCTGTAGCATCTATTTCACATCCCATAAAATTAAAGCAATTTCACGCAAAAACGTTTAAAGGTTCTATTTCTTCCATCGCCTCATAAAACTTTCAAAGCAAATAATAAATATAGAACATGCATCGGAACATTCCGACAATATTGCGAAATTTTGCAATTACAGGTGTATATGTACTAACCATTCTACGTATTCAAAGACCGAATTTAGAAATAAACAGAAAATTAGATAAAAAAAATAAACGTTGTTTTGATGATCACATGTTACGTCTGAGAAAAACCAACGTCACAAACCAGGGTCTCTGAAATTAGTCACCGAAGAAAGTGAATATTTACAAAAGTTAATTCATCACGCGTGAAAGGAAACCCGCCCCTTTCTCCAAAATAGAAGGCCATTTTCAAACGTCATTAGTCAAAGTTAAACCCAGCCACACTATTTCTCCATTTTCACCCGCGTTGATTTCCCTCTCTTCTTCAGCACGTGCGAATGCTGTGACTTAATGTCATGCTCACGCGCAACGCTGGCCGCTGTTTTCTTGGTAAGCCGCGCCACAATGGCGTCCAGCTCCACCGGACCCGCCGTCCGCCAGGTGCCCGGATAATGGCGTCCTATTTCCGGGTACTCGTATTTCATGTACGGCCTGTTCCGGAACTGTTGC